AAATCAGTGGGTTGCGTCTTTTACGCCTCGTCATAGTTTGAAGTCGATACGCCTGACGTTTCCCGAATCAAAACCCAGTTCCCCTCCAAAGTCTGGCGGAGCAGAACTACACAGGCTAAAGCAGCTGCCGTGCGTGAGCTGGGCTGGAAATGTCAGCGGGCTTGTGAATATCCCTCATCCGGCCGTGACTCCTGCTGGGGGGCAGTGGGCTGTCCGGCTGCCCGGGTGCGTGTCCGTCCCCCCTCTCGGTGAGGCGGTGCGGCTTCCTTCTGGCACCACCGCCGGCTCCATGCTGCTCCCGTGACTTTTTCGTAAACAGACGCTGGCTGTCGGGGTGGGCGGGGTCTGCAAGTTTTATGAATCTGCAGGTCTCTGTCAGAGGGCCGAGTTCTGAGTCACTTTGCGTGCCGTTTTGATCCATTTTCGATATTTGCAAACTTACAGGCTGCGTTCCCTTTCCTTCAGCCCGATCGGGATGATGGATGCATGATATCCTGGTGAGGCCAGCCTTCCTGGTTCAGTGCTGTCGCACAGTTTGGGTACCCCTGCTCTGCCCCAGCACAGCTGCTGACTGTGCGTTGCCATTTTACGCAACCGGCTGTGAAAAGATGCAACAGATAGAAGTGGAGCAAACTGTGTGTGTTTTTGTGAGTGTGTGTGTTTTTCTTACACTGTACATGGGCATGAGCAGCCAGAGGCGAGTCTCAGCCTTCAGTCAGGGATTGATGAAGTTCCATGAGTGGTCACCTCATTTTTCTCCGGCCTGTGACCTTAAAAAGAGGCCTGGGAGCAAAGCTGCACTTTTGCTGGAGAGCAAAAATTCAAATCAGCCGTTCCCAGACCGTCCCTACAGGATGTGTGGCATCCCAGGCGTGTGTGTGGGAGCTGACAGGCAAGGAAGTGGCTTAAACTGAGCAGTGACAGTCTAAATGGCTGGTTTGGTGTCCTACCCTCATGGTCACTCCCTTGTACACTTTTTATTACAGCACATCCATGCTTTACAGATACTTACCCCCTTTCTCCTCTTCTTTTGATCTATTTTTTAAAGCCCCATGATGCTGCATTCTTGCATCAACCTACAGAGCAAGCACAGACGATAAATGCTTATTCCAGGAAACTCAAGGCTTTACTTTCATGGTGTACCTGAAGGCTGCACTCGGATGGTGTGAAAAAACTTTGTTTGAATCCACTGGCAGAACGACGGGCAGCAGTAGAGGACACGGTGTGCACACGGGGAACAGGAAGTCTCTGTGACAGGGGGCCGAGGAGAGCCATTTAATTTTTGCAGCGGCGCCATAAAGCAAAACCTAACCACCAATAAAAGGGCTAAGACAACAGTAAAACAAATAATAAAGAAAAATACACCATGTTCTTCCTTTGGAGTGAAAGCATCTAATAGAAAACACAAGAGCATTTCACAATTGAAATTGTAATTGCATCAGAAAACCTTTTGAAAAAAATTATTTTGAAAATACGACATTTCACAAAATACGGCACATCACAAGTAGGCTTATGCTGTCCTCAGGTCAGGATTAAATGAGGCAGAGGAGAAGTAGAATCCGTTTTATTATTTTAAACTGTCAGGATCCATCTATGACAAAGAGTTCTAAGAATATTGGAGGAAGCGTTCCTAGCCTGGCTCAATTCACCCAAGGTTGTTAGTAACTTGATCTGTGTCAGGGGGTTACTCACACCGCAAGGAGGTAAACTGACCACATGATCAAGTCTGAAACAAACCTAATAGAAATTTGAATGGAATAAAACAACAGATAGACAGAAGAAAACCCCATTAAATCATATACTTTTGTAGAACAAATAGTCACAGACCTTAAAGTAGGATAAAACCAAAGAAAAATATTCTACAAAAGCTGATGGTTTGAAAAATCTATTAAATACTGTAGCAAAATATGTTAAATGAAAATCTGTTAAAATGATAAAATGTATGTTGATAAGATAAACCAGTTCTTTTTCCACCTCTGGTAACTTCCAAACAAACAGCTGCATAGCATTTGAATATTCAAACTCCATTTATATAGATTTTAGTCAGATTCATGTAAATAATCACACTTTCCTTTCACGTCCACCAGCAACACATCTGTCTCCCTGTACCCCACAGGCTCTGCTTCATTATGTCCAATATCTGACATTTCTAGGGGAAAGAATGGTTTCCAGTTTAGGTAAATACTCAGCAAAACGACATGTTGAAAATTTGTGTGCAACAAAATAATATTTCGAGATGAATAAACTGGTACTGATGTGTTGAAAACGTAGTTTGATAAATAAATCACTTCTCCTGTGTGCTTCTTTTTATAGTCTGGCAGAAATTATGGGAGCTTTCAAAATGAATGGGTTACATGACAATACAAGTGCATGGTTGCCAAGATACAGAGGGTAGGTCAGCTTACTCACTGGCCCATCTTTCCCCACTTTTCTTTATAATATTGTTTCACCAATGGCAAAGGGGAGGGGGGGGGAACAGTCTGTCTTTTATCTGTCATTCTCCTTGCATCCATCCGCTATCATTTCATGCTTAAACCGAGTTCAGGATCAATGGAGGGCCGCAGCCCATTCCAGCTGTCATTGTGCCGGTCCATCACGGGCCACTTAGAAACAACCCAACATCCATGCCCAAGGCCACAGCTGGGATTCAAACCAGCAACCCCTTTGCTCTCAGCTGACAAAGCAACAAGAAAGAGAACAAAAACAACACATAAATATCACATAACAAAAATCAATAACTCACAATTATGCATTAATACCTCATAAACGTCTATAATAGGTATAATAAGTGCTGCAGTTGATTCAGGGGTGATAAATGCCAGAAACTACAGGATATCTACCACTTCAAAACATAGAGCTTCTCATTATCATGCTTCTGAGTTCGCTCCATTGTTCTTTTGGCTGACCGCTCCAATGCCAGTGTGAGAGTGGCTGTCAGCCAGGAAGATTTAGTTCTCAAAATCACTTACATAGTCTAAATTGAGGCAAAGCCTTGCACCCAGTCCCGTAAAATGAGCCAGCTGTGAATAGGAGAGTGGAAAAGTCATGTGAGAAAGAAAGTCTGCTGGCTTATTCTGCCAATTATGTATAAGTTCACAATAAAACTAAAAAATAACACAAAAAAAGAGGATGTCTCAGGATGTACAGGTGACAGGACAGGGCCTTTATGAATAGACAGACAAAACAAACTGGTTTCTATGGAAGGAGAGCCACTTCTTTGTAAAACTGATTAAAACACTTTAGTGGGACTTTTAGGAAACTTTTTATGATTGGCTATGAATCTCAGTTAACTGTAATGATAATGGAAAGGATAGGCCAGAAATGCCTCTACTGTGAGAGACTGTGAGAGGCAGACATGTCATATAGAAGAAATGTCAAGTTATAGCTGCTAAAGGTGTTTCTGGGAGCTTGTGAACCATAGGGCGCACTGCCTCCACTTTTTGACTTGGTAAATAAAAGATGGCACAACAAAATGCATCATGCATTGTTCATCTGCAGTTGCACTTTGGGTAGGGGATGTTTACCAGTATGTCTTGAATGCCTTTGAATTGAGAAAAAGGTTGCCCTCTGTTCCAGTTGTCCATAAGAGATGAACCTGCTTGGCAAATAAAAGCATTGATTGGAAGATTTATTTAGTCAGTTTTTGGATATTTCACATCAAAACCAAAAAGAGGTTATGGAATTCATTCAGCTGTGCTCTGAAAAAGTCTTCAAAACAGTTCACATTTAGAAGAAATGCTTGATTTTCAGTGCTTGACGTTTCAGTATAATTTACCGTTTGATTTTGGCTCAGGTCTCACACGTTCCTGTTACACTGTACCAACAGGGGCAGCCTCACGATTTCTCTCACTCATCCTCCAGCACCTAAATCATTGATCGCCTTCGCTGAGAATGCAGTAAGCCATCTGGAACAGTGGCCATTTCCCCACACGTACCACAGTGAGATCAGCTCACCGCGCTGCCAGGAGGTGGGTTGTGCGACCTGTGAGCTTTACTGCAACCCTTAAAATCCCAAGGCTACTTATGATGGCAGTAAATTAAGAATGGGAGTTTACCACCCCTTCATTTCATCACATTTGGGCTGAGGCACCCAGCTCATAACAACCAGTGAGCTGTTGCTACGGCGCCCAGCCTCTCCTGCAAGAAACCGCTGAGGTCAGCACTGGATGGTTTGTGTTGTCACACAACGCATCACAACACTACACAAACAAACTCAATTCTTCCAAACTGTCGGCACCTTCTGAAATGGAAAAAATGTATGCTTTTTCCAACAGAAAGTATTGCTACAAGTTGTGCCTCTAACGTTTAGACCCACGCAACATCTGTCGCCAGCTGTAATATCTTATTCCAGTTCCTGAAAATAGTAAGAGTGGAAGTGTAAATCCACAAAGGCGAGTCGGGGGACGGCAGAGTTCACGCGTGCCACAGCCGGCGTTCTGCTGCTTTACAAATCCCCCTGTGGTGTCCATTCAGGTCCGCTAACCTTCACCGGCCAGTGAGGCCCCCGCCGAAACGCGGGCGGCTGCCGCGGGCATACCAATGAGCCAGGTGACCGGGACTCGGCCCAGCAGTCCACAAGAGTGTCACAGACAAATAGGAGCTACAGCCTGATCAGCGGCCGAAGGCCTTCCCGTCTCCCGGGGGAAGCCGGTGGAGTGGCACCTTCCCACATCTCACTGCGGCTGTCATTAATGTCCAAGAGTGGATTCATTATAGGATGCGTGTACAGAGCAGGAAAGGCGAGTACGTCTATGTTTGCTCCTAAATCACCCGGCAGAAACAACTAACAAATAATATATATATATATAAAATGTATGAGCACAGTGATAAAATAACACTGATGCATAAAATGAATTCATAGGACTGAGATGAAAAAAGACGGTTGAGTGGGTCAGCCACTTTGGCCACAAATGAATCACAAAAAAATGCAGATCTGCTGTTCTGACTGTGTGGGAAGTTAGCTGTGGGTATAGAATGTCAAATTTTTTGGGAATCTTTTATAACAAATAAAAAAAAAATGTAAAAAATCCTAACACAAACACATTAAACATAAGTAAAAAAAACAAAACAAAACTTTAATTAGCAAAAGCAATTACAAATAATCATATACATTTCTATGCATGTATGTATACGTGTGCATCATGTGTTGAAAGCTGCTCAGATGAGAGTGTGTGACAGGATCGGGAATCTTGGATGGAAACCGGCCAATATAAATACAATTCAATACTTTTCTCCATATACAAAAATATGCGATTTAAAACAAAGCCCTACGATGGTGTCCCAACAGTTCCACAATGTCCTCTGTCTTGACAAATGGGCTGAGAAGAGCTAACAGAAAGAGTCATGTCACATCTTAAGAAATGAGCCCGGGTCACATTTGGGTTCTTTTATACAGAATCTGAATGATGGTTCACATTTTCCACCCGTTTCACATTAATGAATTAGACAGTAGGTGTGTGTTGTGGCTCAAAATAACAGGGAAGTGATATTCCCTAAAGAAATGAGAAGGTTTCCAAGTTGCACACATTTACACATTTGGAGGGTTCTTCACCAGTGAGGACCGATTCAATGGACGGCATCGTTTCAAAAGCTACAACGTCAGCAGTCACCTTCAGCTTAGAAAAAATAAATAACTAAATCTTTGATTCTTTTCAATTAAGAACACCGTTTCTCCTGAGTTTCTGACTTTCACATGCCAAATACGATAAGCAGAACGCAGTAAAATGTTAAACACAAAAGGGAACTCTTTCTTTAAAGCATAGGCTGCAGAGCGGGTAGTTAAACATTCTTCCAAACATGTCAGTTAATAATAAAGTGGTCTTGAGAAAATATGGCTTTCACGGCAACCCACAAAAATACATGCACACACACACACACACACACACACACACACAAACCACAGAACATTTTCCAGGCAAAAACAAAGAAAGAAATAGCCTTGAAATAATATTGTATCATGTTTTAGCTGTCCCTCCATCCTGTAAAGAAATTTCACTTCGGTTTCTGTACCAATATTTGAAAAGAAGACACTTTTTGTCATATTCCCTCAGCGCTTACCATGAGGGACAGAGGCACTCTACAGAAATGAAAGGCCTGTGTGTGATTTCGAAGAACACAACATACTAAAGCAGAAGATTCATCAGGATTTGTAGTTTGGAGAGTAGAGACGCAGCCTGGGACTGCTGTTTGCATCCATCCTGGGTAACGTACTGTTAAAGGAACCCGAGACAGGAGAGTTCAAACCTGAAAAAGAGCCAAATACGATATAAAATAAGTAAATGAAACAAACAGCAGAATATGGTCAGAGTTATCCGACTCCATGCGTATTATTAACTGGAGGAGGAAGTTGGATGACCACAGAATAACTCGATAGTGGCTTGAAATAGATAATAGCAATAATAATTACTACATTTTACAACTGTGGCAGGACGATGCTGTATAGTACTCAGTTATATGGTTAAATCTTTCACAAGTTTTTTTATAGTTAATTATAGTTATATCATCATATCATTATAGCATATATACCTCCAAAAGAACGATGGCATTTAGGCTTTTATCACAGAGAAGCAACAAAGATCAGGATTTGCTCTGATTGCCCTAAACCGAGTAAGATGAAGAAGTATTGAACTCATTTTGGGAAGAGTCAGTCTGAAGTTAACAGGCCAGGGCTGGCAGACTAAGGGCTGGGGTTGGTGCTAAAGGTGTTTCAGCAGATCCAGTTGCTGTAGAGCGCTGTGAAGGCCACGCTGCTGGAGAGCCGAGGACGGCAAACAGCACCGGCCTTTGTGGCGTTTCCATTACAACGGACAAGAAACGGCATAAAGACTTCCCTTTGCTGGAAAGTGATCAGGATCAGTATTTGTGCCTCTGAGCTCTCAGGTTTGCTTTAAACGAGCGGCGTTTGGTCAGTGGGTACAGTTCATCTGAGCCGCTCTAAAAGCCATCAATCAGAGCGCCGGGCCAACAGGCCTCCGGCGTCCCACAGCACAGAACCGTGCTCATTTTTTCATGACCTCAAAACTAATCTTATATATGTAGCAACTGCTTTAATCATTCATGCTTGGCTGGGTGGCAAATAACGTTTCTTTCTGTGGCCGGACAAACTATTTACTGGTGACTGAAAGGGAATTTCGGATTATGACATTTCCTCGATTCTTTTAACAGTCAGAATACTGCTCTGGATTCTTTAAAAACCCTCTAAAATTTTCCAATAAAAACTTTGCTCTCTCCTTCATAGCCCTTTGCATCATACATCTAGGACGGAGTGATGCTGCCCTACCGGTGAGGGGGGGCGGCGTCCTCTGGATGAAGGCGGGGTGATACAGTTGTTCTCTTGGAGAGAACAAGGAGTGGAGGACTGCAGCCAGGAAGTTCACAAAATAAACAATACAAGTTAGAGGTGTTACTTGAGTTAGAATAACGACAAAGTGACCTGTGTTTAACACGCAAATGGAATATTTCATGTTTAAAGAAGTTATATTAAAAGGATTTTACTGTGTATTTTCTGTCAGAATGTTTAGAAAGTTTTATTGATTACTGAAAAGATATCCCCCCCAAAAAAGCTTGCAACCCAAATGATCAAATCATCAGTCCAGCATCCATGTGTGTGTCTTCCAGCTGGGGCAGGTATGGCCGCCAGTGCACAGGCACATCGACATATTTTGATGATTCATGGCTGGCAGAAGGATTGAGGCAGAGCTATGCCGGCTGTGCAATGCTGCGCTCAGATTCAGTCACATCATTAAAACTTACCCAACGTTTCATCATTCAGCAACTCAGAAATTTTAAACCTACAACTATACAAGAAAAAGCTAAAAACTTAACAGGACCACGAGTGGAATATTCCTGACCAGCTGAATCAATGATCCGATAGAAACCCAAAATTGTTCTCGACTAATTTGATTAGGATCCAATCAAAAGTCGCAGACATCCTAATGTAAGGGCTTTACTGTGGAATGACTTCAGACAGTAACTGACTGCAAATGATTTTCAATACATTTTTTTCCCTGCACATTATAGCCCAGAAAACTAATCTCTTGGTTCATTTTACACCTGAGAAAGGGTTTTTCTGCCCCATGAAAGACAAAAAAAAACTATTTGTAGCATGCGGCATGTGGGAGAGGATTGTTGGCTCGCTCATATGAGAGGATTTTTTTTCACCTTAGAAAAGTTGATTTGACAAGATAATCCTAAATATTTGAACCCCAAATGCTTGAGCAAAATCCCAAGTGGTAGATATATGTCCAATCTGCTTCTTAGTTTAAACAAATTAGAATTTAAGACATAACATGAGAAGTCTGAGTACATTGTTGTTAATATTTTAGCCTCTTGCCAACAGTCTTAGAGGGGAAAAAATAAATAAATTAAAAATAAAAAAAATAAAAAACTTCATGGTTCATTTTTGTAAGCTTTTCCTCAGAAGACCGTTGACCACAACTGAAATAAGGCGACCCACCGATGATGACGATGGCTGTTCCCGCCAGCAGAGCGAACAAGGTGCAGAACATCATCTGGTAGCAGTTTATGAAGCTGTGCAAGGAGTGCCCCCCCACCATGCTACCAGCTGCTGGGACAGCTGCAGAAAGGAAGCACAGCATGATATTTGATACGTTTTCAAAGATGACAGAACAGATTCTGCAAGTCTGTCCGATTTTTTTTTATCTACAATGAGTGAAAAAACAACTGCCTGTATCATCAAGTTCAGAAAATATCCAGCAGGCACTTGTTTTTGGATAGCCATTTAAACTGTGTGAATGTAAGAAGAATTGTAATCTTTAGTCTGCATCCCTGCTGTACCTGAACAGAAACTCAGTCCAAACTGTGTTTGTATGTTTTCTGAAAAGCAAACAGCAATTACACAACTAATTCATTTGAATATATTTTGCATATGCAGCTTGAAACAAGTCTTTTTTAAAGTGGCTCTGCCCACACTTTGCTTTCAGAAAGATTTCAAATACAAACACAAAAGCCCATTTTGTGTTTGTATTTGCTGCCCGGTGCGGTGGAGACCTAACCTTGTGCGGCAGCGCTGGGATCAGCCACATGAATCAAAGTGACTGGGATGATGAGACTCTGGCCGGATGAAGTGCTGCTTATTGTGATAGAGGCTGATGTGGCTGTTTGTGTGTCCACGGCACTGACAGAGTACTTTGAGAAAGCTGGGAAGTCCTGGTGGACCTCCTTCTCTTGTACGCTAATGCTGGGTGAGGAGGACACCACCTAAAGACATCACACAGAGTTACACACATCTTCAACCTAATGTGCGAGGGCATTTCTAGTCCTTATATATTCCTCTGTCGTGCCTGACCTCCATGCTGGACAGGGCAACGGACGGGCCGTAGATTGTAAACTCAGCAGATGGGTGCATGTTGGAGAGCAGCAGCTCGGTCTGGTCTGAGTACAAGCCCGGCTCGATGGGCAGCCTGGCGCTGACCTGCTGCCCAGCAAAGCCACTGCCCGCCAGACCTGCCTTCACCAGCAGGTTGGCCATGGATATGCTGAGCACACGCGTTTGCTGGTCGTTCATGGGTCGCAAGGCCATGAAACAGGTGTAGAGGCCTGCAGAAGCAAAGGCCACAGTTAAGATTTATGCCGATGGGAACATCATAGATGTGCCTGTTGATGAGGCGACAGCCTGCTCGGAATGCCACGGCCAGCACGATGGGATTATTTCACATTCACATGGAGCCATTAGGGAGCCGGTGAGATTCAAACAAGTGGCTACAGCCTTGTTCACTCTCGGTGGATATCATCAAAAATAAGATAACAACTGGTAAAGGGACTCTCAAACCTCAAACATAATTAGACCGGCATGCTTTCAAGCTACAAGGACTCTGTTCAATACATCACTCGGACATCTTTTATAGTCGCTGCTAAATTCATTCCATGGGTAATGCAGGTATTGATTAGGCCTTTGTAAACAGTCTTTTCCTGCTCCTGGTGCAGAGAGTGCACATAAAAACTGTATCTAAGTAACATTTAGATGTTTTCTTACTTCAGAGCACAGGGTGCTAAAACAGAGGGGGATAATGTGAATAATGGACAGTTACAGTCCCCAGTACATAAATTCAAAAAGCTGGTAAAAGCATTTTTCTGGCCCTGGTACAGATTCTAAAACCTATGTAAACCTGAAAACTATGTGTCTGACTTTCATCAATAAATGTCAAAAGAATACAAACCCCTAAATAAAATGCCTTATTATCTAATGTCCGTGTGTTATTTTGAGGAATTATAAAAAATCACTGGTGGTCTATTAAAATATACTGTTTTTATTCCGTTAGGTCCTGTTGTATCATTCCTGTTTGTTGCTTGATATTTTTGCTAACTTTCCAGGCTTCTTTATGGCCTCAACCTAACTACATGTGCAGTTGTGCATGTGCAATGCTCAGAAATCTCTTTCCACGACAGCAATGTTAAACCAATAAACTAAGCAAATAGCAGTTTTTGGTCTGTGGGGATCTAAAAGGAAAATACTAAGGATATCATGTACGTTCTCAAGTTACTGATACTGAAACAGAATAATACTGAATCCAGAATGGGTGACAGCAACAACAACATTTAAATCAGGGCCACCTGTGAGTCTAACGAGCAGTGTATTTAAATCGAATTCAGCGATGTGTAAACAGTTATGAAACATCTGCGTGCCAGGACATGAGCATAATCTCCTAACATCCGTCTCACCGGTGCTGGAGTCAAAGCCGATGTGGGTTCTGAGGACGTCATTAGGGGAGAAGTCAATCGTGTCACTGGTAAAGGCGAGTAGGCAGCTTACAGCTGTTTGGGGCTGCAGCTGTAAAATGGCTTCAGTCTGAGCAGACGAACAGGTTCCTGCAGTGCAGAGCACAATGTAATACAGTAACACTTTGATCTATTTTAATAATATATCATTTAGATATATATATATATATTTTTTAAGTATGACTTATCACAGCTTGAGGAAACAAGAACAAAAACAAAACAATTAATGAACTACTTGGCTTTTTTTGCTTTGATCATTTCCTTTCTGTTTATATCCGCCTGACCAGCTCAGTCCTTTAAAGGCTTACTAATTATCTTGTTGTTTTGTTGGTCCAATATATGCTAAAAATATTGCACAACTGTTGTCTGTCTTGGCTCTGAGCAGTTCTAGGGCAACCAGCAGGAATACCAGAAAGTGATTTAGTTTTTTCAATATTCTTTAGTCTTTACACTACACAGTCAAATTTCTAAGTCATTCAATGACTTTTGTACGGTCATGTATGGGGGGAAAAACCCTGAAGATGATTGCCTTAAAAAATGCATTCAAATGGCTGAGCTGTATGGGATGTATTTCTACATTTACAACATCGTGATACCACTGCATACTTCTGAATAAGTGTGCCACCACAAAAGAAAGTAAAACCTGGGGTCAGGTTTAGCTAAAAACTAGCATAGGCCACCTCCTGTCTTATAACAGCAGATGTTTTGGGTATTCAGTTGTTTTCCTATAGATATCTGGTTAACTCTGGGTGCAACACTTTTCACCCTCATATAAACAAAAAGGGTTCAGTACCAATTAGGTTGGTTCCTCTCTCTCTGGTGGTTAGAAGAACCCTTGTCTCCTGGCCAGCCCTTATGGGTGTAGACTGTGCCATAGCTGTGGTCTTGTTAGGTACTTCCACCACTACCTACAGGAATGTAAAAACAAGCAAAAAAAAGCTCAACAATTCAGTTAAGCTTCAGGCAGAATCCTCAGAATAATAAATCCATCATTTTCATTCACACCTAACTGTTTATATCAATTATGCTACACTGTCAGTTTTTATCAGTGTCTCTCTTCGCATAGATAAAAGCATTTTTTCCATCCATTTCATTATGTTAAAATGCTTTTGAGCTTCTCTGTTGATGAGAAAACTAACTTTTCCCATAGAAAACATTCATTTATAATTGCTGATCAATTCAAGTCTCGGGTGGGGAAGGAGCATGACTGCTAATCCTTTCCACGCATGATCTCAAAAGTAGCGAGCCACGCTCCCACATTAGGTAGCAACAATACGCTTTTCAGAGATGAGGAGTGAGGGGTACACATATTCATTCCAAGTTTACTATTCTAATGATATCCTACTGAGGGATGTATCCAGAATAATTCATGAATAAAAGGCTCAGTGGATAGAAAGGGTCACAAGGTTTCTAAAGATTTAGAATAAAGAAACTAAAGACGTGAGCAGTTGAATAAATAGAACAACCAGTGCTTTGGTAGCTCCACAGAGATTTGATTACAGTGGGAGTCAGATGTACTGGGTGCTGCTCTTTATTAAACAGCACAACAGCTGAAACAGCGCCAGCGGAAAGCTTACCTCCCTGTACGTTTTCAAAACACCGGGTATCTCATAGTACACCGTAACCGTCCCAGAGTCTCTGGCTACAGCAGCACCAGTCTTGGGGTCCATCTGAAGAATACCGTTAGCTGAGGAGCTCCAAGTACCACGTCCACCTTCAGAGAAGGAAATGTGTCCATTCGCTCAAAACATGAAGCATGTTTGAATCAAACCATTCGAAACAAAACTCACCATCGGAGTTGGTTAACTCCACATTAAAGCAGACCACATCTCCCACCACCAGGCTTTGGTCCTCGTGCATTTGAATGGCGTACTGAACAGGAAGCGGAACATAGTCCGCCACAGCCATATTTTCATTATCCCACACTGCAAGAAGCGTGAGGCCCACATTGACAGTTCTCACTGTTAGAGTGTGGTTATTGGGCCCAGCCCCCACCTGGACAAGGTCATCTCTGCAGGAGAGAGGAGAAGCACGGATCACATTGTGACAGCAATTGTCAGAGCAACACAACTGCAGCTCTGAAAACCATGCTTGTATGTCCTTAATCAATTATGGTAACTCAGGGATTAACAATGGATTGAATGTGACAGCAAAATAAAAAATATCAAGGACAGCATGAGGCGGGTTCAAGTGAGTACTTTGATTTGAATGCATTTTTCCTTTTAGAACCCTCATCAACCATCTTAGACTCAAACACAGATTGGCCTCTCACACCATCCTCTAACTATTTCTTATCAACAAATTTGCACATACAGTACAGTATTTATTGAACGTGAGTTTTACTGCAGGAGAAATTTCATCATGGTTTTCATATTTGCCCTTGAAGCATTTGCCTTACTCCTGCACATTGCTCAATGGTATCCTTTCTAAACTAATAAGGAAAAAAATACAGCAGTAAAAAAATAATAATAAATAAAATTCAAAAAAAGAAAAAGAAAGGAAGCCTGCTGGGATTTAATCACATGCCAGAAATTGTCATTTTTCCTGCACAAGCTCTTTACTCCTGATTTAAGCGCTTTAGAACTTAAATTGTGTTGGTACCTGGAGAAAAAAAAACTAAAACAGTAATGGAACCAATTTATTGTGCAGACATGTGTGGAGGGTCCCTCGACAAAAGTGCTGCAACTCTTGTTTCTGCCCCAACACTCCTATTAATTTAGCACACTCACTCAGGTGAAAATAACTCCACCTGAAATGAGGTTTGCAGAGTGGCTGAGGAAATGAAGGCTGTGAACTCCACCTGGAGCCTGCCTCCGCACCGTACATGACCTTACCTACTCTGATAAATGTGACCGGCAAGGAATTTGATTTATGTGAGATTGATTGGCCAGTCAAACTAAGAAGCATTCATTTCCAGTCACAGACTGGTTAGTCACAACGCGTGGTTTGTCAATCTGCAGATATTGATCAGCACCAGTAAAGGTCCCTTCACAAGCCGTGGAAGCGACATAAGGGAAAGTATTCACACTGTAAACAAGATGAACTCTTACGGGATGTGCAGCAGCCAAATGCAAAGAATCATCTTATACTGAACTGGTGTTATACCAGTTAAAGAGAGAGTTCTGTTCACGATGGTCCTCTCAGCCACAAAAATCTAACAAGAGTGTTTTCTGTCTGTAAGAGGTGACTTAATTTCTGTCTCATGGTTCACCACAGAGCTGAAATGTGTTGCAAGGTGTCTGACCTGTTTGTGGAAAAGGTAAGATGGGAGTTGGAGCAGTGTAGGGCCTCTCCAGTGCTGGCGTGAAAGTGGACTGCAAAGGTGAGTAACACTCCGAGGGGGAAGGCATTCAGGCCATCTCTGGTGAGTGTGTGGAGGACAGGACTGGTAGTAAAGCGAACATAGGACACTGGCAACACCTGAGGAGTTAAGAGGAAAGAGCTATGCTTTCAAAAGCCTATTTACATATTCATGCATCACTGTCAAGTGTTATGCATAATTCAAGACTGCCACTTGGAATATAATTCTATAAACAGATGCATACAGATTATTGATCAAATTCCCTGGACTTGACAGGTTCTTTTTCCAGCTGCATAATACAAAATCAGGTGTGATCTTTTTTTGATGGTTTGTTTTATAGAATATCTGGACAAAAAACAAAGAAAATCTGAATATCTGGCATGAGTGACACATATGACCCACAGATGATCAGGCTTTAAAAACAGGAATCATGAACATCCTCAATCTAGTGGCCCTTAAACTGACCTTCACAGTGAGCATGAGCGTCTGATTGACACCAAAAGTCTCTTGTGAGGTGATAAGCAGAGAAGAGGTGCCAGTGAGAGAGCTGGAGGAGAGGAAGCCCTTCTCGTCTACTTGAGCAACAACGACCTGTTCAGGGCAATCTAACATCTGGTAGGAGAGTGCACCCACACCGTCCCTATTGGGCACAGAAATACACAACCACACCGTATCCATCATGTCAGAGTGATGCACACATTCTGTTATTTCTATACGTGAGAAAGGAGTTCCTAAATGTGCATTTCGACTAGACTACTCAGCGTGTAGGATATATTTCAACCTACCTGTTAGTCTGCAGTTTGATGGCTGAGTTTGGAGCTATCAACACCTCTTCAGCTTCCACTTGAGGATTAAGCATGTGCAGCTTGTCATAGACCTTCATGAAAGCAGAACAATGACACTCAAATCAGTGTGCTCTAATCGGTGTTTGATGTTGCTTAAGTAGTGACGTGCCATAGCTTGATACAGTCTGAAGTTTAGCGCGCTTCGCTCCTCCTAATCTGCAGCGTTATCGCTTCACAGCTTCAGATCATTCATAGCTTGGCAATTTCAGCAATCAGCTGAACTAATTGTCAGCTTCCCTCACTGAGGAGGAGCAGCAGAGGACACGATAATGAAGACGTTGCTTTATATCCATGTTTTCATGAATACAAACTGCGTATAAAACAGGTGCTAAGGACCAAAATTGAAAACATGTACAGACACTTTCTTTTGTTCCTCTGCCCTGGTGTGCGTGGATAGCTTAAGTCACAGGGCTGTAGCTGTACCTGGATCTGGATCTCATCCCTCAGCTCTTGCAGATTCCCCTCAAACTGCTGTGACTTCGGGTCAGTAACTCTGAGGACCACTTTCAGCCCTGTTCGTCCTCGTGTTTTTCCCGTCACCTTCATCCCAAAGTTGTGCTTTGGCTGAAGGTTAACGTTGGCCTACATAAAACAGGGATTATAATGAGACTGATGGAAACAGTGACAGCAAATCAGATAACACACAAGCAGTGCTGACAAAGCAGAGGTAAAGCTAATGTTCAAACACAAAGAAGCAGCCTGGTTAGAAGAACTACACTGCAGTGGGGAGGAGACATATACAACTTAATCTGATAAAAGAAAGATGAGAAAACCAGCCCCCCCCAAAAAAAGAACCGGATTAGGGGCGGTATCCGTATGTAGCATACAGTGGCCAAAATTAACTTTATTGTATTGTAGTTTATGAGTGAATGGCGAGAAATTGTTTGCATATAAATATGTATCTAAATGCCATTATTTGACTCAAATAAAATACTTCATAATGTTATGAGGCAAACTGATCTTAAGAACCACATAAAAGAAAAAATTTAGACTAATAAATATCAGATTTAAAAGGGAATTTCTATTCAAGGTGTTGAGACATAAATTTCCACTCCAGAGAGGCACTTATATTGATCTTCCTCATCGAGTAGGATTCTGAGATATGGACAATAAAATTAAAATGCATGGACTTTAAAGAATCTCCTAAAGCAAGACTTATTGTTCCAATAAATAGTTGGAATTTTTCACAATGCATTAAATGGATGAGGATAAAAATATACAATTCCAGCAAAACAGTCCACAGGTTTACTCTAAGCTACATGGGGAGGATGGGGTGATCCACATATTGGAAGCCCCAGTTTCAAGTATCAATCAACCAGAAATCCACATTTGGCCTTTGCTGGCTGTTAACAGAACATGACTGGATACCTCAATGTGTCTTGGCTGGATATCCAAAATGTCTCTCTTTGTGGTGGACCAGTGAAAAGTCAGACCAGGCAGAACACTGCCAAAGGAGAAGGGGGTTTGACTGTTGGTGAGCCCCATCACATATACGGGCATCTAGAAAAAACAAAGTATATTAATTTAAAACAAAGTGTATTTTATTTATGTAAAATCAAAACAGGTTGACTGTTCACTTTATAGACTTCATGATTACAAATAAACACAAGGATCGCAATCATCCTTACCTGTGTGCCTGTCTTCATTCTTGTAATAGGCGCTCTGATTCGAATGGCGGTTAAAACCACAACTTCAACCTCTACTTGGTCCTACAAACACAAGAACAATTGTTTTCCACGTGCATAAGCTTAGAAAGAAATAAACTAGTCAGTGTGATGTGCATCTTACCTGAGAAATGACGACCAGCTTCCCAGTCTCTGCATCAACAGCTTGAACAAATCCAGTCACAGTGACATTTCCACTAGAAACCCCCCTAACGTGGCCCATGGCACTCACAGAAACTATTTCCTCGTTAGAAATGGAGAAAAGGATATTGGATTGTGGCTGAGGGCCACCCTCAGATGTGATCTACATATGATAAAAGAGTAAAGAAAAAGGCAGTTTGAAAAGTTGTGAAAACACAAACACACAGAAGAAAACATTTCCTCTTTAGCTGGACTGATTGACCAGTGCAAGGTAGAGGTAATAATAGTTCTCTTCGGAGCATTTTGGAAACCTAACCGTCGTTTTATTTATTTTTTTAAACCAACTGACTTCTGAAATTGGAGATCCAACATGTGTAGCATTTTGTGGGACGTTTATGTATCAGCTAAGCAAAATTAACAGCAATTCTGGACATCTAAATGAAGTGGAATTACCACTGAAGACGTGTTCCAGAAAAATTATTCAAGGGAGCAAAAATATGAGGAAGCAGATGAGCCGTTTCCAGGCGGAGCTTTCACCCTCATTTTAAACATACCTGCATCATTGCACCGATTAGCAGAGTCATTTTCCTTGGGATGAGTTTGAATGGCGGGAACACCTTTTATTAAAAAAAAGAAAGAAAGAAAGCTTTATTATCATTTTTTTCTATATGCACTAAAAAAAAGGAAAATGTATATTTTTAATTCAATTCTACCTCAATCTGCTGTGGAGCAGAGGCAATTTTCCGTCCATTTTTATCCACGACAACAGCTGACAGAGTGGTCTGTCCAATAGAGACTCCCTTCACCAGGAAAACTGCTGTATCGTTTTCTGCAGACTCTGCTAATGACCTGCAGAAAGCACGAGTTCTAATCAGACCTATCCTAACAAGCCCAACCTAAACATCGCACTTTACTTACTTGAGAGAGACCAACGCAGAAGCTGCCTTGAGTTTAAGGCTCATGAATTTGAAATAGCTGGATGGGAAGGGCTTTTTCTGATCATCCAGGACTCTGACATAAGCTCTGACAGATTTGCCAATCTCCACCTGTAACCAAGGATTACATGTAAAAATAGGTTAATTCACAAGGAGGATATTAGTTCAAAACAGCCCGACTTTTACTGAAAACAGAGGGAAAGACAGAAAGTATTAAAACGGCATTTAGTGCCTTGGTATCATTGGGGCTTTTCAGGAATTTGTGATACGAAGAAGAGAAATGGGGTGATGTAGAAGGAAATTGCCCCTTAAATATGAAGGCTTAAATAAACTGACCTTGTCAACCACCCTGACATAAACCTCCAGGATGTCAGATACATGAACTGTGGCTTTGGCAGGCGCTGGAAAAGCCAGACAAAGGTCATGAACCATTATCTTCACTGTGCCAGGATGGATGGCCGAAACCTGGAGAGATAATAAATCAAGGTTTTCACGATGGAAAGCCCCTAGTTCTCTGCATTCACTGAAACATTTTAGTTCCCAAGTGCACTTATATTTACAATGAAATTTCACTACAGACAAAAAAAAACACCATATGACAATTGTTCCTTACCTGTGCTGTCCCTTGGCCCTCCTGTAATACCACATCTGCAATCCCTTTTAAACTGGCATTGACAAAAAAGTGCCCTGAACCCTCTTGCAGGGCCATATTTACCTACAAAACAAATCAACACAATCAGTTGTGACGGTGTCATTAGGTTTTAAAGCTCTTTTCAAACACGGGACATGTTAAACGAGATGTTTTACTTATTGTACTGTTGGACACTTCATAAGAAGATGTCACTTTACAATTAGAAAATTTCTAAAAGACAGCTGATAATGATCGGAATAGCATTCCTGACCAGACTCGCTTTTTAAAATCCTCTTAGACAGGTCACCAACTATAAATCAACCCTACAACTGCCCAACAATGCTCCTAACTCAGTATTAAGTCAAAAAGGATAAGCTCCCATTGTTAACCGCAGTGTTAATACAGTAATTCTTCATTTGGTTTAATGTGATTGGGAAAAGACAAACTAATATCTGATGATAAACTATCAAATTTAATTTAATTTCACTGACAAAAACACCTTGAAAACGCAGTAATTCTTCCTGAGGAGATAAAACAGTAATATGAGTCAACAGCAGTGAGAATTCTGACTCTTACCCGCACATCTGGGTGATTGTATATGGTCACTGTGTTTGGAGAAACCTTCACATCTTCAACTAAAAGAAGCTCTAGAGTGGCTGAGACAGGCGTCAAAGGGTCATACTGTGAAGGAAAATAAACAAAAGAGTAAAATGGTAAGATATTAATCTCACACAGTAACAAATTTACCAATAAAAACATGCCTCATGTGATCTTGAAAGAAAAAATTCCCATTAATGCGGCATCTTTGTCGTTTTAACATAACTGACTTGACAGTGAGAGAATTTTTCACAAAGGAAAGGAAACAAGCTTAATAGTTCTTAATGGAAGAAATCCACTGATGTCTTGCATATTATTGTACTCGTCTGTCTCAGCTTTAAGTGAGGACAGGAAGAGCAGCTCCACGTGATTCAGAGGATGAGCTGCTTTGACTTACTGGACTGGGAACTTCAGCCGCTTCCAGATGTGGAACCTGGTATGCAAGAGCAGTCGCTGTAATGGCCACTATCCCCGTCTGTTGATGGACGACCACTGTCTGACGTCCTGTCATAAAAAAAAACAATTTGAAACTAGTTTTTTTAAAAAGAGCATGAGAACACCAACTCAAATCATGTTTATAACAAACTGCCTAAACAGGAAGTAATAGATACAAGTCTACATTTGGTAACGGTGGACAGATGGTCCCTTGGTTAGATTTCTGGTTCAGTTCTGCAAAAGACTTCCTTATCCTATTTTTACATGATATTGCATTTCGGCCAATAATAAAGTTAAATTCAAGCTTTTTTATTTTACCATGAAGTTTTGTCTGTTTGTTGCCATCCTCAAGCAGCTGGAGCTCCATGGGTACAGTGGGTTCAATACTGGCAAGTGACACCTTTGTTGATTCCCACATGATGCTCAGGGAGCTGAAGTTGTCAAACTTCCTTCCTTGTTGGTCAAAGGCAGCCAAGTCCAAAATGGGATTACGATAATTTGAAACAGGTACCTTGGAAAGAAAAACAACAACACATCTTTAAATAGCTCTCTACTCTCTTCTTGTGAGTCGCATCTCTATCTCACAGAGGCCACGTCCGTACCACTTGTTTGTTCTGCTGCAGCAGCGGGCAGCTCAGGTCCAGCTGTGGACTGTTGTAAACAGGGACCAGGGTGAGGCGTGATGGTGGAGCACACACAAACTTAACCACCGCAGGTTCCACGGCTGGATAAGGATTGGTGACACTGGCCTTGTTTCCCACAGTCACCTCCAGAACCTTGAGTTTGAAGACAAATGAGACATGTTACCACAGGATATTTAGCCTTTAGCTGAATCTCATTTCTAGCAACATCAAAGACTAAAATAAGACACCAAAGCATTCAATGATTTTAGCTGTTCTTACCTGCTCTCCCAAGACCTTGCAGGTTGCTCTGACTGAGTGGTGGTTATAGTTGTGAGATGAGGGACTAATCAGAGTGAGGCTCAGGCTGGCCTCATCCTCAGCTCTTAAACTGCAGAAGAACTTTGAGGGCTCTAAAACCCAAGGCCGCGGTCCGCCCTCAAATAACATGTCTTTGGAGGATCCCAGAGTGACCACAGCCACAGCCACAGGGTCAACTGCCTGGAAGGAAGAACAGTTAATGTACAGGTTCAATGATTTATAGCGAAGCACTTTAAGAGACGGACCTGACGGATTCATGGATGGATCGACAATGTAAACCAAAAAATGACATTTTAGTGGATGAAAAAGTTGACTTAAAATTAAGAATGAAATATTTAGCTTTATTGTTTTTGTTCAATTTATCTTCTTTTTTTTTTTAAGTCTGCGTTTTAAAGCAGCTTAGCTGTGAAAATGTTGAGCTGAAACACTCAGCTTTACTCTTCACAGGAGAAGAAATTGGGTCAACCTCTCGTTGCCAGGGCAAAACGAACGTAGAAACACAGCAAACATGTCTGAAACACTCTGAAGAATGCATCTCAACCTTAAGATTCAAAACGCATAGCTGAAGAAGTGATTCATCAAACAGCATGTCACCGTGCTAATAACGAGTACAATGTGCAGGGAGCCAACAGCAAATGTTTCTCTTGCTAAAAAGAGGCTCCGGCACGGCGTAGCTCCATTATCATAACATGTGTGATATTAATGTATTCTGCCTTAACTGTTAAAGACATTTTTCATTCTTTTGCCTTACAGAGACCATGCTGAAAAGACAGATCAGTGTAGCAAGTACAGAATGAATAATTAAAAAGCACACAGGAAACCCAGGAGGAAAACAAATTTAACACTTGCTGATCACGGCATTTCTGCCTTGACTGCGAAAGACAGTTTTCAAAAATGCAAGTGGAGGAAGTATAAGTAGGAAGCAATTACCTGGGGTTCGGAAGGAAATCAAAATTAACAGCCAATCGCAATCAATCCATGAGCTGTCCACATTAATGCTAAATGTTTGCCATACACAACATGCATGTCTGTTCCTAAAAAGAGGAAAGCTGAGAACTCACTTTTAAGGGAGGATAGGCAGCAATGGTGATCTTGGCACTGAGGTGAACGTTGCCATGAGTGTAGCTGACAGAAAGCACAGTGTACCCGGGGGACAGGGCCTTGGCTCTCACTCCACTGCAGTGGTCCTGGCCTGGAGCCAGCCTCCCTGAAAAAGGAGGGAGCAAAGTTGTTTGAAATCAGACAGGAAGAGATATTTCATATGACAATCTGCAGAAAAGGAAAATGCATATGAAAAAAAGCGGGAAAAAAAAAAAAAGGGCTCAGAGGCCCCATCATTTATCTTCCCATCTTAAGCCAAACAGAGGTACAGAAAGGTCTCATTATTCTTCCTGGCATATTCGTATTTCTTAATTTAAAAAAATCATTCTAAATGAAATGTCATATGTCTTACTAACACAGAAACTTTCAAAAAGATAAATGTTGCAATGACAATCTGAAATCCATATTCCAGTGGAAGAATTGTGCCCCAGCTGTTTATTAAACACATTCAACTTGCAGTGCTGCTAAATTTATTTAACTAGCTGACAAGTGATACTTCTACATGCCAAGTCATTTTCTCTTCATCATTACATCAGTTGTGCCTTATGAGATCAGAAACTACAGCCGAGAGTCATTTGTTGGAAAATGTCTTTTCTGACAACTAATAATAAAAACGAAAGACTGGAAGGAGGGCACACCAGTAAATTGATTCACATTTTCACAACGAACAAATAAACATCATCATCATGTACCTTAATATGACACTCATAAAATGTTATTTTCAGCAGAACACCTACATAAATCAAACAAACGGCATGATTGTCTCAGTTCAACCTCCACTGACTGACACAATATTGTTCATTTTGTATACAACTATGGAAAATCTTACTATTCCTTTTAGTATCTCACTCATAGTTCAGTCTCAACCAGTAACAGTAACCAGTTTTTTGAGATTATCAGACAGCAAATATGCTCTCATTTCAAAGGAAAGTCAGATCTTGATGAAAGATGGTACTCTACCCCAGAACATAATGGTAAAAACCTATTCAGCTCTTAGGAATATTAAAGGAAACTGTTAAAAATGACTCAATCAGGCCTTTAATTTCATCAAATATGGATTTCAAAAGTCTTTTGAGTTTCCATCGATTCCTTTTTAATCCACAGGCAGATGTTGGAGAGAACAAGTAAAATGAAAAAAAGGAAAAGTGCTTGTAAGGTTTGGTGTTTGGTAATACAGTCTTATGTACGAATGAGCAGCTGTACTTTACAGAGTGATCATGACCAATATGCTGAACATGATAAACAGAGCACATACGAAGATTTTACCTCTTTACTGTACTTTACTGATTCAGTCACACACACACACACACACACACACACTTGGGACAGTGATTTCTGTATTATACAAGTTTCAACCACAACTCACCGTGGAGCAGTTCAAAGACACCATGGTTCTCCTCCTCAACCAGCAAATCAAAGTGGGAGCAGTCACTCAGCATGACTCGCTCTTCCTCCAGCTCATCCAGCAGGCCAAAAATCCTGAGCGGCAGATCCAAAACAGAGCCCAACCTGGCCTCAACCGGACACGGAGCAAAGTCCATAGCAACAGGCTCGACAACATACACCTTAAAATAACAAGGATAGAAAACAGATTAGAGGGCATCAGAATCAGGTTTGCTATGTAATTATCTTAAATTCATCCATGAGACAAAACTAATTAATTTTCTCATCTTTATGTAGAGCAACAATTTGTAGATAAAAAGGTTATGTTGTGTTGCTGATAGACTGTTTTAATTATGTGTTCTGCTTTCGGATCGCTTTCCCTTAGAAAATCTCATGATTATAATTAAACCATTAGCTATGATCAGCTGAATAATGTTTGCATTTTAATTCTAGTGTAGGACATCAACAGGTGTGCAGCTTCTCTGTGACAGCGACAAGCCATTACCGGTGTTCTTCCATGTTCATTTATCCATCTGTCAGCCAGAGCATTATGGATTATCTATTTGACTTTTTTTCCCTTGTTTAACTCTGACAATAAATTGATAGCTTTCTCTCAAAGGACCCTCCAATGTAACTGTTATATATCACCTTGACACTTTTCCAAATAACTTGCCTTCATTTGGCCGAAGTGTAGCGGGTTACGCAGATCATGGGCATGGACTACACTGAGGCCAATGTCAGTGACGGTGGTCATCACTCCTTTCACAGTCACCGTGGCGACGTTGGTATTCGAGGAAGTCCAGCTGAAATTTCCACTCCCTCCCGTTGCCTACAGTCAGCAGCAGAATTCAGGATTTATTGCTTGCGAATAAAATATTAGTCCTATATACAATCTCACAATCAGGACATCTCATAAAAGCATGCTCAGTTTTGTACCCCCCCCCCGTTGCTTAACAATAAGTACAAGTACTAAAATCTCAGACTCATACAAGATGACATATGTTCAGAATTTCTATCCTTTGAAGATAGAAAGCCATTCAAGCACTTGCCATGAAAAGGAATAATTACCTGTATTGTATACTGGTAAGCACCGATATTGGGCTGCCATGGAAATGTGAGAATACTGGGACTAAGAACTATAGGGTTGTATATTTCCACGTCCTGTTCATTGTGCACTGGGTTGGTGAGGGCATGGACTCCTCCACGCTGAAACAAAACAGAGGACACGGGAAATGATTGAGCTCTCTCTGCTGAGGTGGGAAAAAAAGCAGATGAGGGTTAAAGCAACAATGACACTCACTGTGAATCCCAGACTAATAAAAGGTAAGAGCTGCACACCAACTCACCTCATCCTCAACGGCTGTTAGCGTAGCATCAATGAGGGTTAGGCCCTCTTTGAGAGCCCTCACACGATGATATGATCCATTCAGAGAAGACTTCAAGATTTCAAAATGCTCCCCATGGAAAATGGTGTCGATCCGCACATTCTGCCAAAACAAAACAAGCCACATAGAATTGCTGTTTTTTCTGTCCTGACTGGAATACATTTAAATTCTGTAAAACATGCACTTACATCAGAGAGGTAAATTTTGTAGCCAGATTTATCAAACACTTCAATCAGAACATCATACACTCGGCCTGTTTCAAGAATCCAGCTGTCTCCTGGCTGGACTTTAAAACCTGAACAAATCACAGAGAAAATAAAGACGTAACTATTTAAATCTCTAAACACTGAAAAGGACTGATCATTATATGCAGGAGGAAGATTCAGACCTAGATAGCCTGCTTCAACCACGTGGAGGGTGCTGTTGGGCAGACGAGACACTCCTTGCATTCGGAGACCTTCAAAGGTGCCACTAAGGAAAATTAGGTCTGAAACACTTGACAGATACTAGCAGCATCAAACCTAAAAAAATCTTATTTTTCTTGCCAAAAACACAACTTACAATTTCCGCTTAATCCAGCCAATTTACACAAACTGTGACAACATGTATGATGACTCAAGAATATCTTTGCAGTTCATTCTAAATAACCAGCTATGAGATGCAGTGTGACAGAAGGATACTCTTATGATCCAACACCACATTGATGTGGCCCAGCTGAACGGCTGTAACTGTGGAGGTGCTTTGATCCAGGCTGGCCACAGCAACATTTGGGTTGCCATTAGGGCCAACCACACTGTTCTGAAGGTGTAGAACATACTGATCACAGGGCAGAAAGAGCTCTGGACAGAAAAAAAAGACACACATTAAAAAACAATTCAGCAAAAAAAAAAGGGAACAACTGTACTCTCACTTCTTCTCTAAGCTGAACTAATGCTTGAGCAATAAAAAAGTCTGGAAGTCAAGGACAGATCAGGTGAACAACTTGACAGCTCCTCAAACATTCTGACCTGTGATCGTGCCCTGTCTCAGTTTCAGGACTCTGTATCGGATGGTGGTTCCTTCCAGTAGGTAGACATCATGTGCTGGGCTCAGCAGGATGTTCTCTAAGATCAGCAGCCTCACCTCTGCAGCACCCACATCCTGTGGCATGGGTACCATGGTTACGGAACAACAAATATGCAGTTTCCTGCCTTAGCAAAACCAACAGAAACTGGTTATAGAGCTAAAAAATAATTAATAAAATAATTTGAATAGATTCAAACTGTACATGGCTGCCAGGTATTCCTTGAATGTTTAATACATTATTACTCGAAATAACTCTCTTTATTGTACGGTAACTCTCTTTTATGCTTGCACATAAAAAGGTTTCAGCCGTAAAGTCAAATGCCTGCTATGAGTTCGGATAGGACCGAGACATAACTTAACTATCGCTAACGTTGTGATATCAGAGACCTTGATAGGACACATTCTACTCAATTTTATATTAGCATCTCACAAGATGAGCTGCTAAACCAAGGGCCTAAAAATAGGACCAGTGTAGCCTTGTTGCTACTCATAACCGCAACAGTTTAGCCCAATACTTTTCAACCTTATGTTGCCTTACAGTCCAGTTATCTTTTTTGCACATGGGAGCAAAAGTTCTTACCTTATACAGAGACTCCTGTATTTTAGCTTTTAGCTTAGCGTGTCCCGTTTTCAGTCCTGACACCAGGATAATATCCCCCTGTTTCCCAACACGCTCCATTTCAGAAATGTATCCAGGGGGAGTGTAGGTGGACTCAGAGAATCTTAGTACCCTGAATGAGAGAACAAGACATACAAAATATTAAAATAACAAAGCAGACAGAACTCAGTTTTTTTTTTCTTACGTTTGCCTTGAATTCTTTATATAAAAAGCAATCAAGAGGGGGAAAAAAAATTCTGCATCAGATACAGAGCAGAATTATGTTGTTGGTGACCTTAATGGCCTGTCCAGAACATCTTGAGCAGTTAGTGATTCTTAACCCAAGGAAGCTTACCGTAAAGAATTGTAAGAATCAGAAAAACCATTCACATCTACATCTTTCATTAACGTCCAGTCAAACACTAGACCGGCGAGAGTGCTGAAGGTGTTTCCTGCAAAAACAAAAAGAAGAGGTAAAACCAAAACTAAACGTGGATATGTGACACTATGAGGGACAGAGCACACTCATGTCAAACCAGGTGGAGGTCCTTATTGTCGAATGTAAAACGAATACCTCTCCTCAATGTTTGATAAATCTTTGCAGAAGAATTAGTTTAAAAATTAAATTAAATTAAAAAATAAATACATTTTTAAAATCGAAAATAATTTCATTACAGAGTGCAGTGCAACCTTCTGCAATGTCCTCTGTTAAAGGAATGCAGAAGGAAACAAAACAAAACACCAGGCCCTGGAGCCATCATCAGAAAGAATCAGGTTGTAGCTACAGCTCATTAAACTAAGTGAGGCTGGCCAAAATGGAACTAGTGGCAGAGAACAAACAGCCATCTCAAAGTGGCAGCCTAAGAGGAAAGAATGTGCTGCCGAGAGCTGGTGCCATCATTACTCAGATATATTTTCAGAGCAACAAATAAACAGTCCAATGAGGACTCCTCGCTATTGGTAAACTGAACGATTGCATCATTTTAAGAAATTATTCTTGATCTTGAGGATATACTTACTTTTAATGCATTTAAATACCAAGAGCCTCTACTGATATTCAGTGATTAGGCCATATCTCACCTTCAGAATCCAGTGCATGAATTTTGAGAGCCAGTGGTGAGTCCTCCAGGTGCAGTTCTCTGGTGGTGGAAACTATCTGGATCTCGCTGATGATGTCAACTATAGCGTCACAACGCAGCACCTGTCCTGTGACTGCAAAGAGAAAGGGAAAAAAAGCAGTCCTTATCATGAATGTATTAGCTGAATGTGGCACAGCTATCGGTCTAGTCAAATTTTGAGGTTTTTCATGGTCTAATAAGTAGTCTGCTGTAAAGGTCAGATTATATCATAGATGTTAAGCAGCTGAGGTGAATAAAGCCAGATTCAAAGTCAGTTATTGCGGTCTGAACAGATTACTTAGATTTTACAGTGGTTTGAGATGTCTGTCTGTGTGTGTGTGTGTGTGTGTGTGAGAAAAAACTAATATGCTTCGTATTCCTTAGGACAATGCGAATAATAAGCCTTGTCATTCTTTTGTACAAAACCCCCACAGGCAAAGGATGGCATACAACATTTAACAACAGCATTGGAGGAACAATAATGATGAACAAATTAGTTGTGCAAGACAGCTTGTTACATAATCTGCTATATTTTCTGTACAATGTCAGTATATTATAAGAATTATTTAGACATATGAAAATATGACAAATGGTTTGACTTTAAAATAATAAGAAGACCTGAATTTTCTGACTAAAAATATGATTTAGTTAGAAAAATAACAACAGGTGGTGGTGACAATTAGCTTTAACAATATAATGAAGGATATTTCTAAATATATATATATAGATTCTTTTTTTCTCTATTGAAGAAATTTCTGCAAAGGTTTGTATGAAAACTAAGTTGGACGTAGCACACTGATTGATGGAGTGCAGCTGGAATGCTGGAGCATACTCCCTTGTCTAACTGATGTGATGAATTTTTCACCCTCGGTGCTCCATGTAATTACACTTTCATACAGCATAGTCTTTATAACCTAAAGGAAAGTAATCATGCAAAGTCCGGAAGTTATCCTTTATTCCTGAAATATTAAAACATGTGCGATTTGTGATTGAAGCCCCAAATGGTTACAAGAAAATTTTAATTTTTTAAGGACAAAACAGTCTGCAGGATATTTAAGATCTCCTTATTCTCAAGACATCAAAATGCTGGGAAACTAAACCAAGACAGGTCAGGTTTTTAACTAGATTTCAAAGAGTTGATTTTCTGTAAACACAGTAAAAATGATCATACGCTGCCATGTATCATTGCAGATTTGGAGCTTTCCCGCTGAGGAAAAAGACTGTCAAAATGGACCCTCTGATTAAAATACGGATCAATACATAGTTTTGCTTACCAACGTCCTCGGCCAGAATGATGCTGGTCAGCCTGGAGGGCTGAGTTGATAGAGCCTGGAGAACAGCTCTGCGGGAGCAGCCTCTCCCGGCGTCTTCATCGACAGCTTGGACGCTGGCTACTTCTGGTCGGGTGGATGACCTGAGGAACAAAAACAGCGAGATGTACACACATAAATGAATCATGGAGATTGTGTGTTTTTCATAGCAACAATGTCATTTTCATTGAACCTCCTGCCTTTGACAAATACATACTAAAACTAAATCCATACCAAAACATTGTGTGCCATTTTAAGACTGGAAGCATTTTACAACCTATCAATAAATTGGAGCCCAAAAAAACCAACAGACTTTTTATGAGATCTGGTGATGTTCACCTTTCAATGTTTATAGCACATTTGCCCGTCCAGTTCAGGGATTCATTTTAATTAAATCCTTGAATTGTTATATCAAATACACTTTGGTACAGAGTCCTCAACAGGATTGTGGTGTTCTCCGCCCTTCCTGGGCGCTTGATTGAAGCTAACCATGTGGCCTGTCAAAGGCTCTGGCCGTTTACTCACCATCTGTAGCATCCTTCTGTCGTTTCCAGGGTGAAATTGATTCTTGTACTTCTTGCAAGTGGCAATAGCACTTTGGGGATATTTAGTCTGGAGGTACCGTTGACTTGGGTACTAACGGTTATTAGTAATAACCCTAACAGTACTGAATTCATCTCCGGTTCAACAGACTGCAGGGGTTAACTACCAGCAAAACTAACGGTCGAATGAATGAGCACCAAGTTTCTACACTAGCTAAACTTTCTTCGTCTCATCAATTCCACTTTATGTGCAGCAGCGTTGGGGGTGTAGCAGACAGACAGACGGTTCTGTAAGCTAGCATAGCTTACATTAAGGCTAAGACACAAGTCAAACACACATCGTCTTCCTGCCCGGTTTCAGTTTGACACTTTAGTTAACGTTGAGCCGCCACATGATAAACTGTTCCAAACTCCACCGGTGCTCTTTGTTACTCTTCCGCTTTCTTTATACTATAAAATGACTCAAACCATAAAAGAGCTAACACTTACAAAATCACTAAAGGGTGTTAAGACAGCCAAATAGCAAACATTAGCATTAATACGCATGTTTTGTACAATACCCGCCATTAGCAACAATTGGACTTCCAGTGAGCATGCCGGGAGTGAGACAACGTCACAAACAAGGGGAAGGACTTGGAGGTCTCTTCTTAAAGGCACAGTCCCTTAATTCCAAGTATTGAAATGAAAAAGTAGGACAACAAAGGAAAATCTTATCTTATCTTATGTGCCGACTGGTCAACTAATTTCATATGAACTACACAACAGGGTCCAAAGATTAAGTGTAGTGTTTGCTACATGCAGCTGAAAGGCACTGGAATAAAATGGAAGGAAGGGGAGCCATGTACCGCCTACACATATGTAAAGAAGTCCGAAAAATGTGTAAAACACGCCACTTTCAGACAGCATAGAGGCACTAAGCATGACAACACAAGAGCAAACTTTTGCACAAAGAGCAATAAAGGATTTGAATACATTGGACAGAACCCCAGTGGCAGGTATAGCGACGTGGAATGTAAAAACCAGGGTGGGAGTGGTGTGGTCTAAAAGTGTAATTGGGAAAAAAACTCCAAGGCTAAGTGATTAACAGTGGTAATTGGGCACTCGGGACTGTGATGCCTAAAACTGGAAGAAGGGCTCCAGCAGATCCAAGGACTACAATCAGAATCATCAGCTCTGATCGGCACAAGCCAGGGAACATCTCAAATTCTGGCAGATCCCATGCTTAAAAGTTCTGGATTAAAAGACCCAAGGGGAATTTCAGCAAGAAAGAATACATAGACTTATTTCTATTCATTGCTTTGTTATCTAAATCTCACAAAATGTACAAAGGGATAGGACTTATCACTATGTCATCATAGTGGGTTGTCATAGTTAGTATTGTCAAATGTATAACTGTCATTGTTTGCTTTGACTAATGTAACTAACTAAGCAATGGGCTGAGGGGCCTTGTGTAATAATAGGACCAAAGATTAGGCTTCCCTCCAACAAAAACAAATTCCTGCTCTGTGAAAATAGGTGGCTGAATAAAGTTTGCAAAGCTTTAACCTGCTGAGAACTTCACAAGCTTTCAAAAATAGTTTTCAAAAGTTTTCAAAAATAAAAAGGTTTAATTGAAACTCTACCTTCAGATAGTCTCAGATCATTATGGATTATGAAGATGACTATCACAAGCAAGTCATTGCAATGTTTAATGGTATTTTTTTTCCACTGAACCACCAAATCGGTTATAAATATGTGGAAAGGCTGAGATTGTGGACATCTGGCTGCCAGCCATTCTTAGAGTGCATTCCTTGGATTCTACTACAGCTGATAGTTTTGGGCTCTAGTCGCCAGTGAAGAACATGACTTTTACCCCTAGGTGTCACTAATGGTTACACTACGTTTTGCTCAGGAATGCTGTAAAAGTAGATTTTTACCACCAGTTCACTGCAGAAGAGGCCGAATTTGAGAATAGAACATTATTCCATAAAAAGAAGACTTTAGGTAAAATAAAACGTTTTCAGAGGCAACATAGTACAATACCTCAAATGGTGTCATTCTATGGCATCAAAAAATTGTTCCTGACATAGATAAATTCATTGTTTAGACAACTTTGATTATACACTCTGAGATAAACTGACATCTGATTCATCCTTTCATTTGCATTGAAGCTTCCACAGCAATGCCTCTTGTAGAACCGAGAGAAGCACAACTTGATTAGCGGGAATACTGCAGTTCTGAAGTGGTTTACATAATGCTGCTCTGTGCCAAAGGGGACATATTGTTTGAGCCAAAGCGCATTAACAATAAAAGCCCATCACCGAGGGCTGCTGTGTTCCAATCTGCTGATTTAAATAACAGCCGTACAGATGCAAAGACAGAATCTAAACATGTTATAGATGGAGCCTATATTGGTCATTTACACATCAGAGGAAATGGGTATTCAAAGTGTTTGGGAGGAGAAATTAAATGAAATACCTTTCCTCAGCAAAATTATGCCAGTTGAGGCTGAAACCTGAGACAATGGAGCTTTCATTCTAGACTCCTGCCCAGCATGAATTTCTATCCCTGTGCGCTTTCAGTGTGCAGGCAACATGCAAGGAGTGAATGATGTAATGTCCATAAACATGGAAAACAATACCTGAATGTCACGCTCCGTAGCTCTGGCACTTCACATCCAGAGGTAGACACTCGAGTCAGGAAAAGGCAAGGCTGAAGTCATTCCAAGGGAAATGTAATGTATTAACGTTTTCTGGGCCTTGAATGGGTTTTCATTTGATTGCTAAGACCAAATCCGCCTGAGTTATAACCAATAATCACAAACGAAATAAGATTATCTTTTTTTAAATTGCATTTCTGTTGAGTAGAATTATTGACTGCGGCACCTTCATGAAAAAGAATTTCTCAAAAGTTGACCTTTCTGATTCCAATTTGTCCTGTACTACATCATGGCCGCCAAGTGGTGCAGCGCCACGTCTCACATCTGAGACTATGAAATATTTCACCTCCTCAAAAACACTCTGCAGACAAACACGCGCTGCACATGAAACATCCTCCTGCACAGCAAACTGCTGAAGCTGCTTCGCAATCCAGTCTTGTGTCTCCTCATCTGGCATGCATCAACAGTCACATCTTTCCCTCAGGAACGCTTTTGGCCACCATGCTCGGCTTGGTCCAGACAAGTAAGTCCAGAGGGCCATAGCTCTTACTTAAGCATTTACTTGATGGCAGTGTTTTCAGCTTTCAGTAGAAATGTAATAGGCTTTGAAGGGTCACTGCTTCAAATAGTTTGGAAAGTACACAAGTTTAAGGTCCCCTTGGTGTGAGGCACAATAAAAACTGTTGTAGGTTGGCTTAATAAGAGGTGCTACTATCCAGTCAAATCAGTCTGTGCCTTAGGGAGCCAACTTGTGTGTTCCAAGAAATGTAAAAGAGGGCTTGAAGGTGGGACCAGCTCAAATTATTACCACAGTTCACCTCTGTGATCAGATGCCCCGAGGGTCCAAACTCCCTCATTTCCTTTGTCATTTTATGCTGGGTGATGTTTTTATGAATTATACCGAGCATAGACCTCTTCCTTTAGAAGTAATAGACCTTTTCCAGAACAGATTAACACGGTGAACATAAAGAAAAGCAGGACGAACATGGCAAGTCTGCAGCGCTTCTCTGTAAGGATGAAATCAATTGACACAATCTACTGCATGCTTTGAATTCCCTTTCCACTTTCATGGCATATCCATTAAGTGGATGAAGCTGAGTGGATTTGTATTTGCAGCTCTATGCATCCGTGATCATGGACAATGCTGGGGCAATCTTGCTAAAGTGATTCCATTTAAACATGATTCCATTTTTAATCACTGGCAATTTTGCATTAATCTCACTCTTTATTCTATCTAACCCATGTGAATTTGCAAAAATGATGACCTGGTTTGGTTTGTGATATCAGATGATTGTCCCCTTGATCATTTTGATATTCCATCGAATTGGTGTTAGATATTCAATTTGAAAAAGAATTGCATAATTAAGCAAACTATACAAAAGCAGCTTCTCTGTGGGACTGCACCCATCAACAGGCTTTGCATTTAACTACGGCCTGGAAAGTCTTTACAAGATGCAGGTGGGGAGTCACTTTCACCTCTTTACTTGTGACTTTTAATTTCCCGTGGTGTAGCCTCCTGCAGTGCCTTCAGAGCTCTGTTTGTCCTGGTTAATGCTAAACACTTCCTCTCTTCACCATTAGGACCCACAGCAGGGCAGTGATAAGAAACATGCTCCAGCACACATTGAGAACTTTGTTTTTTCATGTTGAGGATTTACAACATGAACTGGTCATTACCCATAAGTATCGCTGGTCTACCAAAACACCCCCCAACAGGAGTGCGGTTTAATATGTTAGTGAGAGCTGATTCTGGCTCACTGATTTCAAAACACTCACTAACACTAACTAATTATGCTGTATTTATAAGGATGAATCCAGGGATGGTTCTGGTGACTGAAGTCCTTGGGGAGTTAGTCTTGCAGTGGATCACTTAATGCACTACTGCACAGGGCTTCTGTGACTTAACAAAGGTTGTGGCAAACATGATCCAATCCACCTGTTTAAACGGAGGCAGGAGAGCAAGACAATGAATCACACAATGGACAGATAGCACTGATGCCTGCTGGATTAGGGGGCTCATGTAGACGATAATGTCACTATCACAGGCATCAGTTTAATGAAAACCTGGAGAAAATGAAGGATATGCTGTTTTCTCCAGAACAAATACCCCAGGAGGAACAGCAGTGGAAAAGAAGATTAAGATAATAACAGTGTCTTGACTCTGATTCAGCATGGTTCAAAAAGAGGGGAAATGTCCCATCAGGTAGATTGCTGAGTGTGAAGTCAGTGAGTTTTGGCAATTATCAGTGGCATAAGTCACTATTCAAACATGCATGAATGAGAAATTACAACAGCATGGGGTTCATTTAGCTCTCCCACATCAGTGCGTGTCAGATGACATTATCTCACAGACTAAGCCATTATGGCACTGAGGGTTTCTGGCCCCAGGAGAGTCAGAAGGGGTCAATTGTGGGGGGGGGGACACCATTTGGCCCTAGTTTACAAAATGTGGACCCCTCTTTGTTGTCATAGAGCCTCAGATGCTCTAAGTCCGTGAGCCAAATGCTGCTTTTTTTTTACTTAAATTACATACCTGATTTTTCTCCATGTTGAAATTCTTGAAAGGGACATGGGATTATTCATTTCTGAGCTGGTAATTAAAAAAACATTCCACAGTATTTCAACACACTTACTACAGCAGGTGGTCATAGGAACCGTAGGTTGCGTAATCCTTGTTACTTGTACAATATTTGTGGAATAGACTCTTATGTAAAGCTAAGACATTAATGGTCATTTCACTTGCATAGCTTTCTAGCGAGTGACTTTAGGATTTACAAAGGGCCTCGTGGCACAAAAAAAGTCAGTCAGACCGTGGGTCAGATGACCATGTTACTAATGATCACACGAGTGAGTCGTTTGTTGGGTGAACCTGACTTCAGCGGATTCTGATGACACAGTAAAGGTTGGTCTGACATGATGCTTGACACTGAGTTTAAAGAAAATCAATTCAGTTATCGGCATATCAAAGACTTACAGCAGAACGTTGTTTTGCATGTATCCCTTCTGGCCAGGGATTGATCAATCTCAGCCCCATTCTCAAATAGCACTTACTTAAAACAGAGTATTCGATTAATTGTGCCTGAGGTGAGACATGAAAACTTCATCCACCGGGAAATACATTTAAGAGAACCCAGGGGGGTCTTTCAGAGTCTGTGACTTGTGCTGCTGTGTCTGCATTTGAATACAACAAACAAGGAAACCCAATAACAGGACCACTGACTCATCTGTGTCATTGATCATTCAAGGGGGGCCCCTTGAGACAAAGTGGTCCCCCGGCCCCACCACCCCTCCAGTTGGCCTGACCAGTCCATTCAGCTAATGGGGCAGCTTTTCCTCATTGTGTCTGGGCTGGGGTGGAAACCAGGGGAAACTCTAGATAAAAGATAAGATTGCCATTTGGAGCTTTAACATGCAGAATCTGATTGGAGTCACTAGTTGTAATATGGTTAACCACTGCACCACGGTGCTGAAAATAATCACAGACATGTGATGTCTCTATGTGCTGGATTTATCAGTATGGCTTCACAAGAAGAAAACAGATCAGAGTGTTACAAGAAATGAAACTGGAAGATGAGTATGTCTGAAAATGAATAGTTAATAACAACTCTGACTACCTACACTAATGTTTCAGTTGTCAATAATGCAGTAAGATTATTTCAGCAATCTGCTCTCATGGGAACTATATTTTAATGAACTTATGAAGTCATACTGACGACGTATAGTTTCCACTGACGCTATTCCATGGCGTCATTTACTGCAACAGAGTTTTGTTGTAATTAGCAAAATGGGACAGAAAAAAAAATCGACAAAGTGGGAACTTTTTTTTTTTTCTCTCGAAAGTGTGTCCCGCCCTCAGGAGCAGTAGGGCTGCCAGCCTCCCGAGTCGGATTGAGGGTATAAACTTTACGCACAGAGTTTCCCTGAGACGCACAGGAGCGCAGCCGGACCAGGGAGCACAGGTAAGCTGCCCCGTTCTTTAAGATAAGAAAAAACAAAAAAAATCTGCCAGTAATTCAACGATGTGCTCCACTCAGTGCTTTTGATTTCCACTGGACGTCACGTGAGCGTTGGCAAATGCAGAAATGTGTTGTGTCCTTCTGTGTTTTTTTCCCCTGGAGAAGATGACTTCAAATGTTATTATTTGTCATTTCCATGTTTGTCGGGACATTCAGGGGGTTGAAATAAACATTTTTAGTTAAACGATAACGTTATCTAGAAGGCTGAGCACTTCATTACCATATATTAAGGGAAAACTGCGCTTTGTCGTCAATCAGATCTTTAGTCCACTTTCTGTCTTTTTCTATACTTTGTGTTTTCTTGGGCTCAGAGAAATCCTATGCCCTGCAACAGTCTTCCCACGTGCGTTTGGTTTGTGTCGCCGTGAGCATGACGACTAGAAGGTCCATATTTTCTGCAAAGCAGTTGCCCAGGAGAGACAGAAAACAGATGTTAAATTAAATTTTTATGACCTGTAGATGGTTATTACATACACAGGCGAAATGCAGGACATTCCCCGCGCTGGCAGCCCACATCACCCCAATTTACTAGCTTTGTTGCTTAGTTTAGCAGTTTTTCTTGTCACCTTTGTCTGAATTTACACTATCATTTACTTTAGAAGTTGTAGACACAGAGGCATCTTTGGGATGTGAGTGTGTTTAAAGCTTGACTTGCTGGTAAGGCACCTTTGCAGTGAGCCCGTGCCAGTTCAGAATTGACCAGATCTGGTAAAATGATTTTGTACCCTCTGCACACAAAGACATCATTGATTCCTTCAATGGAGCTGCACTGAACTATGTGTTGTTTTGTAGTGAAACTCATAGGGACAGAGAAACAGATGTTATATGCATTTTTATGACCCTTAGATTGCTGTTGCAGTGCATTTGATTACATTTCTTTGTCTTACTTTGAATTTGTCTCATATTAGTCGACTAACAAGTATGGTGGGTAGACTTTGAAGCCGTTTTTCCATTTTTCATAGAACACAACAGGTGGGCTGTCAACGTAAAAGAAAAAGTCATTCAAGCATCCTTCGTTCTCTGTAGACATTCCTTCTTTTGTGAGAATCTAGTCCAAGGACATGAAGTCTGGAACAAATGCTATAACACTATACACTTTAGAAAAGACTTAAATCAGTTCAGAACATTTCTGATGTGATTGTTTACAGGCATAAAATGCCTGTAAGACGTTTGTCATGCAGAAGAGGTTTTAGTTTATCTGTAATTTTGAAATAAACTGCTCAGTAAGTGTCAGAAGTCTATTGTTACTAGCACAAATGCAAGCGAGGAGAAAAAAGGAAAAGTAAATAAAAAACACCTGGCTTCCAGTATGCTCTCTGATTTGAAGTCACATCACTTGCTCACAGGATCAAGCCTGAGACGCTCAGTCTTGGTGCCTTTCTCAATCTGTCTCTGTGTTGTATAAGAACCCCAGAGAGCTTATCAAGTGCATTTAGGACCAGTGCAGTGAATCTCTGGCAGTTCATACAGAAACAGTGGAACAGTTTGCCAAAATTGTTTGTGCTCCAGCCACAAAGCTGGTAGAGTCAGACATTTACAGCAGGATCAGACAACACGCTCACCAGATTGTAAGACGTAGAAAGCTTCGTTAGAGTACAATGCATACATTTAGGAAGTCAGATAAGGTGTTCCCTTTGCAAAGCATCAAACGCAGGACATTGGTTATCTGTCATTGTGAGAGGGGAGATTTGGTCATTTTAGAATTTTTCTGGGTGTATTATTGTACGTATTTCTTCTATTTCTTTGTTTGCCAAATTTCCATGTGCAGACTAATATAAAGCACCACCCTCCCCCCCCCTGTGGTGCCAAAGCAGTAGGAAAAACCTGCATTTGGCATGGATTCAAATTTTAAAAAGCAAGCTATTTAGTTGAAACCAAATATGTTTTCAATGATAACTGGAAAACGGTATAGGATACAGATTTTTATCAGACTGGGTATCAAACAACTCTTGTAGAGTAAATATATCATTAACCACTGTTTGCTTTCACAGGCTGAAAGACGCCAAATTCCTTCCTGTCTGGGATAAAGTCTAATGTGCAGAGACATTGGAGGAATTGAGATTTCATTAACTTTCTGAGCAAAATGAACATTCAGAGGGCAACATTGTTTTTCTGTCTGTGGATGCTGTGTGTGGACATGTGTCTATGCCAGACAGACTGCTCAGGCTTAGAGTGCCCCGTCCTGCAGAACTGCATTGAAACAGCTCTAGAAGACGGTGCCTGCTGCCCCAAATGCACACGAAGGGGCTGCACCTGTGAGGGCTACCAGCACTATGACTGTATTCAAGCAGGCTTCCAGAATGGGAAAGTCCCAGAGGGGGAGTCTTACTTTGTGGATTTCGGAAGCACTGAATGCTCCTGTCCACGTGGAGGTGGGAGCATAAACTGCCGTTTTATTCCGTGCCCTGAAATCCCCCCCAACTGCATTGAGATTTCACGACCTGCAGATGGATGTATGCAGTGTGCACGCATTGGTTGTACCTATGACAACAATAAGTATGAGGCAGGACACTCCTTTCAGGTTGGCCACTGCAGAGTCTGCCACTGTCCAAATGATGGCGGCAGGTTAATGTGCTCCCCCATCCCGGGCTGTGAGCTCCGTAGTTTCAAAAAGCCAATGTGGGCAACAACCACAGAGAATAACAGCCCTTTGAGAGACAATAGCGGCGGTCCTGACTCCCAACAACTCAATCTCGAAGAAGAATTTTCCAAGCTGGCACTGGAAAACACTCTTCCTCTGTATAAGCCTGATCCATCCACTGAAGACTCACGGGTGGAACCGACATACTCGTCAATTAAAAATCTGGCCCAAGCGTTTGAATTTACCACAGTACCTCCAACCTACCCAGAGTCGAGCTCTCTTGCCATCATCTCTGGGGATGACAGGAGATCTGAGCTGACAGAAAGTCAAAATGCCCCAGACCCAGTGAGGAACAGAAAGGAAAAGGTCAATCAAAGCGTAGATCCACCCCCCACAGGGCCTTATGGGAAAGCATCAAGCTCATTAACAAGTACCGATACACAGAGAGAAACTATGGAGAACAACGGGCTGCTACAGGGAGTTGAAGAAAGGACCATGGGGCATCATGGTAACGGACACAAAGTGATGCAGCAGACTGTAAAAGACACAGCATACAGCCCCCGCGCCAGTACAGGGCTCCAGCGCAGAGCTCCTTTCAAGCTGAAGGAGGATGGGGAGGAGCCTCAAAGACAACCTCAAACCCTCTACAACTACCAGTCTCAAGATATGAAGGAAGTCACAGAAGGTAAGTCTGAAGTTTGGCTGAACTTTCCTAACAAATTCACAACTCCTTTCTTAAATTATATGGCTGAAAGCCAAGGAATTAGAATGTTTCCTCCTGTAATACAACAGTAAACTGACTAGTAGTGCACATTCACATTCTGTCATTTTAGTAGAACTCATATTCAGTCCACTCAGGATGGCAGAGATCCAGTGGAAAAAAAAACAATTGTTCATGGAAAATCTGTTTTCCTGAGATAGCATATAGCTACCTAACTCAGGAGAGGAAATTTACTATATTTAGAACTCCCTTGTTTTCATGTGCTGAGGTTGAGTAGTGTTTTGTTTTGTTTTAGTAAAGCCATGTCTTTTTACAAAGAAGATGGAATCATGGTTCATGAAAAGTGAAGATGTTAGCATGATGTGAAAAGGGGCACCAAACAAAGCGTGCCAATTCAATTTCTTCGTACCAACTGTCAGGAACAGTGGGTGACGGGTGCTGATTTGGACTTGTTATATACCTATACACTATACCTGGAAACCCAACTGGGATTGAGTTGATGACTTTCTCAGCATCCCAAAGTATACTAGCATCAAAGGTGAGAAAGAGGCTTGGTCAAAATCCCAAAACCAACGTGACTGTGTTGTGAAAAACTTTTACAAGCTGTGCATAAGCAAATGCTTGCAAAGCAAAGTGAAGTAAAGTTTAACAATAAATCAAAATGGGCCAAAAGTCTTCCATGATGATTAGATAGATTAAGAAAAAATACTGCTGAGTAAATGCTGCTAAATGCTCCTACAAGATACTGGATTATGGGATATAATTCACAGATTGCATAAATAAAAAAGAGAGAGAAACACATCTCTTGAGGTCTAATGTGCAGATACTTTGAAAAACACCCCTGGATATGTATCAACTGTCAAGGTGCAGCAAACTTTTGAAAAGAATCCATTTCAAGTAATCAACCATTAATTGGGAATCTGATCTACATAATAAGTTTGCATGTTTCATAATATTTCATTGAATAGATCATTGTGTGTCATTTGTGTGACTATCAATGTTTCCCTTCAGTTTCAAGGTACAGATGTAATTAAAAATCTAAATCATTAAAGAGTTTCCACTGCTTGACAACCCATTTTTATTGTTGGATAATTGGGAAAATCCAAACCTGCTCATTGCCGCACCACTTTTTATTGCAGTAACCCAGGATTATCTCTGCTGCGGCAGGTATTTCAGATCAGTTTAATATTTATAGTGATGTCATTTTTGTTGCACAGCCACTTTTAGAGGAAGAGAGAAGAAACAAAGAGAGGATTAAGATCAAAAGCAAAAGATCTCCTTGCAGCTTTGCTGTTTAATGATTTTCCATGAATCAATGATGTGGCATGAAAATGTGACATTATGTAGTATTATAAGGGTTAAGCACAGATAGATGTCCGGTCAAGGGAAAAGAAAAATCAATCCGTTGTATTTTATGGCTTTATAATACAGTTAGTCTGTATATGAAATGCTTCCTTATGATTGAAGTAAATAATGAATGAGTACAATGCTATTTCATCTACTGGTATTCTCCAGTGAAATTATCAAAGCATTCTGTTCCAGAGTTTTCAGTGAAGGGCTATATGTAGGGGCAGAGTAAACCTGCTTTACAACGCCATGATTTTTGTCCAGACCTGTCAAGATTTTTCTTTTCTTTCAGCACCTTGCCCCCACAGGTATGTATAGTGTATGCTGAATGCATCTTTTAGGTGCTTCTGTGGGGGTGTATTACAAGAAGAACGTGGTCGGTACAGATAAAAGTGGGGGAATATAGGTTGCAAACAAAGTTGAATGTTAGGGAGCCAGTAAAGAATTATAGTGACTTATTTCTAAATTATCTGCAAGTCAGTTAAGCTAAAAGTTTATATATTAAGAAGTTGAGGTGAACATCAAAGGGAACTTGTTTTTCCTCCAGGGATAAGGTGCTCAAACTGTGTTTTCTGCAGTTTGCAGGGGGGAATGGCACAGAGAGTTCATTGCACTGGGCTAAAGCTAGAGTTTAGTGACCTGTGAGAGAACAAACAGGAAAAACCCAGCTGATAAGGCCTTTCACTGATGCTGTTATCAGTGCTATTAGCAGAGGATGTCAAAGTTATTTGCACAGGAAAAGAGAAAGTATGTATACCAAGCATGTTAGCTTTTTTTTTGTCCAAATGAGGGGCTTTTACTGTAGACCTGGGCCCAGGATGATTTCTTTTTTTTTGTTCGGTTTATAACTCCTGCTCATTTGTCCTCTTTCTTTCCAGCCTGATAAGTTGTGTGCTCAGATGGGGGATGGGATTGTTAAGGCATTCTGATGCTAAGCTCACTTGGTTTAGGATTTCTTGGGGGTTGTACCTGCGAGCGGCATAATACCCATGTGATGAATGACACCGCTGGAATTGCTTGATTGCCAGACGCCACTCCCGGCTCAGTCCCGAGTCAATGTGATTACCAACCTCCCACAAGGTTGCTGGTTTGCCCGTCTCTCTGGCATTCACCTCCTCTGAGGCACATCTTTACCTGTGCTCGTACTTTAGGAACCAACAGCCACCATGCTGAGCTAAACTAGATGAATGTAAGCCACAAAGAAGTCGATAATGCACACAGGCGGAGTGTTAAAACCATCTGAGGGCAGGTGCAGTAAAGTGGAAAAAGCACTTGTTTTCATCAACAAAGCCACCACAACATGTTGCATGCGAGAGTGTGTTGATCCAATACATAATTTTCCGAGGGATGAAAGAGGAGGAAATTCCACAAATGATGTGGTAAAAGTTCAGTCCAACCGTGCCACTGCCGTAAAGATCGGTTTGAAGATGATAGTTTGCTGTGGTTGATCCAGGGTGTCTTCCAGGTCATCTGCAGTAATTCTGGCATATCCTCCATCCTCATGACCTTACTTAAAAACCACCCAATGCACATGTCACCCATACTTATGACAAAATAAATGTTCTCCAGATGCAAGAAACCGCTAATAAAAGACACAGAGTATATGCGAAAGGGCACTTTGAGCAGCTCCTTTTCCCATCCAACTCCATCATAAACTCATTCTTTTTACAGTGTTGTTTTTGCTCAGGATGCATTAATCCATTGATTTTTACTACAGAGAGCAGCTATCATTACTGAGACTTTTTTCTTAACGTCTCAATGTTATTTTTATCTGTATGGTCCAAAAAACACTCTCATGCAGATGTTGCAGAGCACATCATTTATACAAAGGGTGTGTCCAGGATATGTTTGGAACCTTTGGGTAAAATTCACAACAAGTCCTGAAAAGTGAGTATAAGTGTTCCTCTTTAATCATTTTAACATCCAGACGTATTGTTGGATTGGAAGTAAATATATGAAATTGGCAAGTCCTCAGGTCTTCCAACACTTAAGTGTAAGACTGATTAAGACTAAGTGGGCTTATAGAAAGTGAAAAAAAAGCTTGATTGCACAATTATTGGCTCACAATCTTGGGGACATTAAGGCAATGGCTGGCTATTCTTAAGAATTAGATTGCCTGTTTTGGAAATGAGGTCATGATGATAGCAGGAGAGCCCTCCCTGTTATGTCACAGCCAGCTGTTCTTGGACAGTTATTATGTGTTTCAAAAGACACAATATCTGTGTAAGTAGTCATGTTGAAGGTGGAAAGAACACTGTCACCTCCCCCCAAGCACAAGTCTGTCTGCAGACTCAAGGACAAACACACAGACACACAAAGACAGACGTGTTTTTAGGCTTTTACTCAGCCAGAGGTGCTTGAATGCGCTGTTATTTGCATTGTTGGTGGAGTTCTCTTTCATCCACCTGTACTGTAAATCACTGCCAAGTCCACAAAAGACAAGACACTTGAGCCTTGATTGGGGTCAACGCACCACTTTGTGACACCTCTGGGCATGTAGAGAGTTGCCCTTTCTGGATGATGCTCTAGCTTAATATTTTCAGAGTGTGTGATCTCATCAGGTTTGGATTTAGACAACAGCAAAGCATCTAGTGTTTAGCTTTGTGTAATATATAGATATGATCACAGGCCGAGAACAGAGACCTGCTTTTCAGCCATCTTTAAAGGATATCTGTCTGGAAGTACAGAACATCAGGGTAGTTTAATTGTTGCACAGCTGAAAGGGATACGTTTCTATACGCTCATGATTAGAGGGACTGTCATAGAGAAATGAGGAGATGCGGTGAGATCAGACACTGCTGAGTTGAACTGTTGTGTCATTGTTTTCAGCTCCAGTAGCTATTTTAGAGCAACATAGGCTCCTTTGAAAATAAAATCCTTTGGAGAATTGCTGATGAACCGTATGGACTGGAACTGTGTGCAACATTTCAAGACAGACACATGGAGTTAATTTATGTTTGTTCAAAACAAGGGAGCTGATTTCACCAGGGATAATGAAATGGAGGTGAATGAAAACGCTTGCTGTCTTCTGAAGTACTTTCACACAAGTTGAAAAAGGATGTCTTGAACAGCACGGCTTGCACAGATAATTAAGTTGCGTATCAAAGGGTCATGCCTTGTGTCTCAAGGTTTAGATTTCCTTATTTCTAGACCATTAAATTATGCAGACTGCTTCCTCTGGTCCGAAGAATTGCTTAGTTCTTATTCTATAGGTAGGCAACGGGAGACATGTCGGGAAAAGCAATCGGACTCTGAAGTTAAAGTGGAAAACGGACCTTAGTTACTCAAATGAATCTGTGCTGAGCGTCGTCTATTTAGAATTGTATTAAGACATTTGTTTTGCTCTTTATGACCTCTGCCCTCATTTAAGGCAGATGTTGCAACAGACTATGCTGGGAGAGAGCAATTAAAGCTTTTAGAGGGGTTGTGCATGTATTCTTTCTTCCCTTCTGGACTTGCTAGTGGCATAGCTCTGGGGATGTTTGTCAGTTGGTCCGTTGGCCGGTCCTCCACTTTGGTTCAAATTTAATTACCCTTGCAAACTGCAATATGGATTGCTTTTTAAATTCAGCACGTCTGTAATTCCTCTTGTAGTACAGCTAAGATATAGTCATTTTTGTTTTTAGAGATAAATCTAATTTATTGAATTCTTTTTTGTAACTGTATAATTTAATTTGATGCTATTAACAACTGTCAGTCGGGCAGAGAAAGTAGCGCTGCTGTTTCGAATATAATGAATAGATTTGGTGAAGCGTGTAATTATTGTTCTAAAATTAGATGAAATGATAAAGTAAAAAATAAATATGCATTTCAGGTGTATTTAATTTATTATCCATGCATGGTCTGGTTGACTTAGAAGACACAACTGCCATGTGTTGGGTCTTGTACAGTAGTCCGGGAGCCACAAATCAACACTGGAATGCACTGCCCTGTCATTGAAGGAGCATGTATGCCTTTTTGTCCTGCAAAATGAATGATGTGTGTTTTGCTCTGTCTGCTCCTTGTCCCAGTTTGAAATATAGTGCTAATGTGTTACCCTTTCACTACATTCAAGCCGCGATTAAGCGTCTTTAAGAAACAGAAGAACAGTTTGACTTTGGGGGGGATTCACAGAATTCCGGGTTTCATGCTTTTCCTTGCCAATTAAAGTGAGCTCAGAGTCCACGAGCCTGAAAAGAAAAACACGTTGCACTTGCTATTCTTAGCATATCATCTCCACATAGAGATGATATGGGGCAAGTGTCCCAGAAAGGGTGAGATTAAAACAGCAGATATCAATCAGCTATCAATAAACTAATTTTACAGCTTGTTACTGATGGAACATCCACATTGCAAAGTGTAACAGCGCATTAGTTAACAATTTTTAGAACTGATTACTCTGAAGTTGGGCTTGGAAGAATACAGTTAGATCTTTTTGTTTGTATTTCTTCTTCACAGTGTCTGCCAAAGAGCTGGTGACGACCTGCTGTGAGACAGGGCAGAAATGGGCTTCTGTAAATGGCCACTGCAACAACATGGAACTCCCCACAACAGATCGCCACAGCGTTTGCTGGTGAGTCTATTATGTGACATCCATCAAATTATTAGAATTAGAAAATTCACAGTAATGAATAAAGATGCTTCACACTTACCTTGTATTGTTCTATTCTGTTGCACCCTTTGATTAACCATATTTAACTTGTGTTTGCTTTGGAATGCTGAATGTTCCTCAAAGTCTTGACTGGTTAATTATCAAAAGTGACATTTTAGCTTCTCCGTCTAATTAAATTCCTACAAACGTGAGAACGGCATTCATTCAGCTCTGTGGCAACCTACATGGGCAGAATTGTTACTCCTGTAAGGCCACAGTTGCAGTCCAAACTTCACGAGTCGTTTCTCACGCGTGCCTTTCTCTGTCAGGACTGCCCAACAACAGTGCTGTCTCGGTTCCCTGAGAGAAAGCCGGTGCTTGGCTGGAATTACTGCAGCCAGAGCGGGAAATGTGTGTGGAGAGGATGACAGCAGCAAATGTGGGATTGATTCCTACAAGGCAAGTGAGCTGGTAACATGGCAAAGGGGACATGTGGTTACTCTTTGACAGCAATGGTTTTGCACGAACCATCATTATACTATATACTTGTTTTGCCATTTATTTGGTTAGTAGACCTTGTTGTTTTCATTCATTGATTGCGATATCCAGATAAATTATTTCGCATAGCATGGACAAAAGTGTGGACTGTTTTCAAAGGACGTCATTTTTTATGCTTCTTCATACAGATCAGCCCCTACAAGGACTCCCCATCATCTAACACTATGTGATCTAACTCTGCTTTTGTGAACTGCAGGAGTGTTGTGGGTGCTGCTTTCTTGGGCTTCAGTTCCACAAAGAGGGGCATCACTGTGAAGCCCACCAGTACCTGGGTTTCCACTGCCAACACATCTTTCTCACATGCTGTGAGGGGGGGGAGAGGAGGGAGAACACAGTCAGAGAGAGGCCTGCTCTGGATTCCACTCCACCTCCGAGAAAAGGTATTTTGAACAAACGCTTGCATGCTCAAAAGAACAGTCTTAAAATGCAGGCAGAAAGAGAGGGTAGTTTGTAGGTATGGTGCACTTTAGAATAAAGCAAAGGACCATCTATGTTTCCTAAACTAGCTCTTAAAGAGCCTTCCAACCCAGAAACAAAAAAACACCTAATATCCGTGTTCACCTTATTCTCTGTAACTCCTGTGTCTGTCTGCCTTCTGGGCACTGAAGGCAGACAGACTGTTTTGAAAGTTGTCTTGCACTGATTTATTTTGGCTGCTGCAAGCTTACAAAATACTATTCACATCATGTTCATATTGAGACTTTTTTAGAGCCCTTTTCTGCCTCGTGGTCGGGGTTGATAAGGAGCAATTGTTTGGGCTGATAATTAGAATTGAAGATTTCACGCCAAACACTTTGCCCGCCTCACACCCGCTGTGTGTGTGACACGCAGCACAAATCTTTTAATGCATTTTTAAAAATCTTGTCACTGTGTGTTTCCTTAAAAAGTCATCGAATGATGGGCTAATGAAACTGTACATGTGATGTAAGGGATGCATGTGGCTGTTCAATCAGTAGAAAAAGAAAACAATCAAAGAAATCCTCTTTATCAGAGTGCATTCTTGAAACAAGGTTCTGCTCTCTGTAAATAACTATGTTGTGTTCTCTTTGACTGCGTGTGTGAACAAAGTATTTTCCCTGGGTTGCAGTGTCGGACGGCCTGTACCCTAAAGAGGCCTTCTCCATCGGTGAGGCGCAGGATGGGGAGAATGCTGTGGAGGGCCCTGTTGAGGTGGAAGACATGGATGAGTGCCTGATATATGAGGGCAACATCTGCCACCACAGATGCATCAACACGCCCGGCTCCTTCCGGTGTGAGTGCTTCCCCGGCTATGTGCTGCAGGAGGACGCTTTCACTTGTGCTCAGGGTAAAGTGGAGAACACCAATCTTACTTTGACACGCCGCCATTTCCACAGATGCCACAACACAAGAAAGCCCTCGCCATTCCATTTACCCTTTAAAGTATGATATACTGCCTGCAGGCATGTCAAAAACACCCCATTTGCCTACACATTTACTCTGTATCATTTTCCTGTCCTGTTTGAGTTCCTTCCTGTCTGCAAAGGCTGATACAGGCTAATAATAATTATGCTCTTCTTGCGCTAACATCCTTTTCCTGAAACTGACGACACAAATCTTTGCCATTGTCAAAAAGAATTTCAGTTTCTTTTTCCCTTTTTTCTATAATTTCTGTTATTTTTTGGTGTTCAAGCTTAATTTGATGTTTTCTCAGACGTAGAGCTAAGAGGTGTTTTCAGGTTAGCCCACACAGCGTACCAGGCTCTAATCAACAGTGGCTTTTACCAACACAAGCCTGTCTGAACAGGATCTAATACCAGAGTTCTAAGCAAATTACAGTGAGGTATGGGGCACACTAATAAAACCAAACGTATGTCTGCAGGCAACGCTTTTTCCTGCCTCACCTCCATTGCTATTACAACTTTCATCTGTTGCCACTGGCCTCGGATGAGCGGATGAAAATGTCGGTATTGCACAAGTCTGTAACTAGGACTGTCGAGGATGAAGAGGTGGAAAATGGTGATTACAGTGCGAGTCGTCGGTCCCGTGCTGATATTATTCATGTTCGCGCAGAGCTGGTGGATGAGGGGAACATACTGAAGGAGGATGGCGGAGAGGCCACCTCGCCGTTCCCGCCGGCGGTCCTGCTCAACCCCTGTGAAGGTTAGACATGCAGACCAATCACTGCAGACGCATTTCACAACGAACACTTTCCTTCATACATATGTCTTCATTAGAGAGTGGAGCATGAATTCTGATGTAGTTCAATGTATTTAAAGTGGAGGCCAGCCCAGGCTGCAATAAACTGACATGTTATTATTCCAAGCGCAGCCTTTCCGGGAAACATAACAGCACTGAAAAAAGGTCGAACAGAAGGAGCATTTTGAATCACACCCGTCATTCTGATGGGCTGCGCAGGGACACTTTTTGTTAGTTTTGCTTGGTCTCCTTGACACCAGGGTGGAAGTCCCCTGCACTCTGGGCCAAAATAAAGAAATACAGTATGACCTGGTCAGCGAGCAACCTGAAAAGGGGAAAGAAAAAAAAACAATAGATAAAATCTTGTCTTCCACACTGTCCTGTCTCTCTTCACCATTTCTGCTGGAATACTACTGTGTGAAGCATAGGTAAATACGCGTTATTTTGGCTGGCCCGACTATGCTGTGTTATTTACAGGCTCCAGCATCTGTGAGCAACAGTGCACCCCGGTGGATGGAAGGCCAATGTGCTCATGCTCACCAGGATTCTCCCTTAGAAATGATGGGCGCTCCTGTGAAGGTAAGAACCAGAAATCTTCCTAGAATTTCGAAATATGTCCGATTCCATGTGGACGGTTAGTGTCATGACAGAGGAGAACAGAGGGCGCTCAAATTTCAGCCCTCATCCTGCTTTTCTTTTCCAGCCAGAGGAATTTGGTTCCAGCTGAGGAGACTTTCTTGGCATAACATTCTGCAACTGACTTGTCTTCTTTCACTCATCATCAGTGCCCCTAGATCTGCAGAGCGGATACAGCCCTAATCCCTAGTGGGACATTTATATCTTGTTCCTAAACTGAGTCCATACCAGAGGGATTATCCCAGCCATCCATGCATTGTCATTGATATATATCACCAATTGTATCCCACCCATTATTTTCTCCTCAAAATGGTGGTGGACTGTGAGTCATCATTAGACCAATCAACTCCTGCACTATGCGTCTAAGCTGTCTCACAGGGGATAAAAAGCATACGTTTGGCTGTAACCACTCGTCTGTCTCCAGCTCTACAGCAGCAAACTGTGACAGCAGTTTTACAGAAAGTGGCTCAGTGTGGTGGCACATTTCTCACTGTATGGATGCTATTCCCACTGGCCATGTCCCTAATCTCTCCTTTCGAGGAGGATCTGACCTGTCCTTTTAATCTGCTTCCAACCACTGACTGTCATACCCACAGTTCCCCCAAGACTCGAGTTTTTTTGTATTTCTTGTTATCTGTTTTCTGTAAATCTGTTCTCCCATCCTCATCCGTGCACTTCACACTAACACAGTTGTCTCGATTCTCTTCTCCAGATATAAATGAGTGTTTGTCTGCACACGCCTGCCAGTTCAATGAGCGTTGCATGAATACTGAAGGGAGTTTTGTCTGTCAGAGACTGATCACCTGTCCCCCTGGATTCCAGATCAACAATGACATTTGTGAAGGTAGAGTGAGCAGCATCAAGGTGTTTGCTTCCACTTACTGTGAATACTGAATTGGAGGGATTATTTTGTCATTCTGTATGTAACAATATTTGAAAAATGCATTTCTCAGGAACAATCACTTTTACCACCATTGAGACTTGATGTTTGAAAGTTAGATATTTTCTAAATTCTTCCCATGTTGTAATGATTTGACTTCATATTTAAACAAAAAGAAGGGTGAAACAAAGATTGCTTTCCTCCATATTTCCCATTTTGTTTGCTCTCTTTTAACTCAACGAGGACCTTCCTGGCTTGTCTTTGTGGGTGGTGCCCAAGTTTGGCATGTAATTGTAAACCTCCCAATACGTCTCATTATTTCCATGCACCAAAAACTGGGTCTGCTCAGAGGCCTCATTCATAAAGCTGCAGCAGTTCTCCGGAAAAAGGGCCTCAATGATGAGTGACTTTCAGATGGGCTGTAAGGGCTGTTTGCCACTTTACATGGTGTTATATAGCTCAGGCACAAAGTCAAGACTCATCTACACTCCAGTAAGCATCTTTAGCCTTTTAACAAGTACAAGATGTTTAATGGTAAGCCTCCAATCAGTGCCACTTCAAGCCACTGCCTAAAAATCCATCTTGTGCTGTTTATGTCCATTCCCAAAAAGGTATAAATAATGTGCTAAAATGAAACAGAAATACAACAGCGATCTAAAAGGTAAGCCTTCCCTGAAAAAGGTGTTGTTTACAAAGAGACAGATGGGAGTTAAGCCCAGGATGTGGCCATAAATGAATACAGTGCAAAAACATGGCAACTATCCATCCATCCATTTTCTACACCCTTTATTCCCAACGGGGTCGCAGGGGGGCTGGAGCCAATCACAGCCGACACATGAAAGAGGCGGGTACACCCTGGACAGGTCGGCAGTCTATCATAGGTTCACACAGTGACAAACAACCACACACACTCATGCACTCCTGGGTGTAATCTAGAGTGTCCCATTAACCTGACATGCGTGTTTTTGGAAAGTGAGAGGAAGTTGGAGTACCGGATAAAACACATGGCAATAATAAAACCTAGAACTGTTGACACTCAACCTTGTTAAAATTATCATAAAGTTGATAAAAGATCTAGGAAAGAATTTGTAATGACAAAGGTAAAGATACGAACTCTGCAATGAGAGTCACTCTGAACTTTTACTGAATCTTTAGGAGCTCTGTACATGTTTCACTAGAAGAACATTTGATACTTAATCTAATGTAGCCTTATAGTATAATAAGAACAAGGCTATATTGCATGCCATATCGTCTCATTATGATGGGATGTGAAAGAAAATGTATCTCAATGATAAGACTGAATACATTCATATCAGTTATGAATGTATGAATATAAGCAAACACTGCTTTATATGTTTTAGACACACTGTATTGTGGGATGGAATTATCCAATTTTCTTTGGTCCAATGTTTACTGTTCCAAAGAAGATAACAAAAGAAGAATTAAAGCCTGTTTTATTATCATTCATGGGTATAACAGTTGGCACTTAGGCAATTCTGGGTCATTTGACTCTTTTAGGAATCTTCCATAAGAGAAAAGGGTGAATAGACCCCAATCTAAAAATAGACCCCACAATAGACTTAAATCTAAATAAGATTTTCTTTTTAAATCCATCTTAAAATTAAGCAGAACACCACAGAATCCAACAACAGAAAGAATCATCATGCATAAAGGACATTTAATGAAAAAAGAAAAAAATGTCAGGGGTCCAAAGAGGTTGAATTCTCATCAGCAAGTGGAGACTTTAACTTTTTTCAGTTTTGCTAAGTTATTTCCTTACAGGGTGGAAAGTCACAGCCAATCCCTCAAACATTTATCCTACCTCCTGGTTTTCCTCTCTCTGTCTTCATCTATGTCAGGCTCACTCAGCTGCTCACAGGCTCTGCCAGGTTTGTGTCAGACGCGAGATGCTCAATCACTATCTCCTGTTTCGAGACCTATCTCGTATCCCCAGGGCTGTCAGCCAGAGCCGGTTTGGGTCTTTTTACAGCAATTACAGTGGCAAAGCCTTGCAAACCAGCTTGAAAACTTATATGAAAACATTTATTCCTAAGCCACACACAGACACACGTATAGTTGTTAAATCTTTGGAGATTGTTATTCTTGTCCAGGTTTGGTGTGTTCCACTGATGTTAAGAGCTGATAGATCTCCTGGCTGACAGGTGGTAGAGAGAGAGGGGGGGGGGGCGCACTTTGCACAGTAGGAAAAAAAGAATGTTCATAATGTTTCATAAATGGTCTTAATCTGATTCAAGTACTATCATTCAGGTTAGTTTGGTTGACTAGTAACGTAAACTGCTATAACTGCAGTAAAAGTTAAATGTGCTCTCTGCACGCAGCCACAGTGCCACCCAGTGGGAAAATGTGCCACGACATGTGCATTTTAGTGGTAAATGATGTCTTTTTCTAGTCCTTATTGGCTTGGAATTGTATTTTCCCCAACAGACACCAATGAGTGCGAGCAAGGAAGCCATAACTGTGGAGTTGGCTTTGATTGTGTGAACACGGAGGGTTCATTCAGGTGCAGACCCAAACCTCAGTGTCCTGTTGGCTTCAACCAGGACACACAAGGCAACTGCGCAGGTGAGTCAAATCATGACTGTACATCTGGCTTACCTCATTTTTTAAAGTAATCCCATGGCTTTATTTTTAACTGCATGGATAATAACAACTAAAAAGAAAACAAGGATAAATAAAGTGATTTAAGCCCTTTTCTTTTTCTCAAATGTTCCTCTTTTCTTTTAGTGTTTGTGTGGTAGGATGAATATAATACAAAGACTATCTAAGGGTACTTACAAAATAGAATTTCAAAAGGATTTTTTGACATGACCAAAAATAGTTAATTAAGGAACTGCCTGTGTCAGTACTGATTAGATCTTTTTTTTTGTAGTTTTTTGATGGGATTGTGAAGGTTGTCATTACGTAAAAAGGAAATTCTATGGTTTTATCTGCACTACAGTCACTGGAGAAACAAAGAGATTGTTGTATTGTATTGTATTTAAATCCCATGACAAGAAATGTTTATAGATCTTTATCTTGCACCCAAACAGAGGAAACAAATGCAGAAATTTCCCTGCAGATGAATCATTGTGTGAGGAGATGTAGTGGTACACTACACATATGAATCAGCATAGCTGCAGTGACAGAGGGGTTAAATGCCACACAGACAGGAGATCAGAGACGTTGCTGTTAGGGGTTGCAAAGGGGTGGATAAAAGCCAATCCTCTGTCCTTCTCCAGTACAAACCGATGCTGTGGAATTAGCCCCCAGGGGCAGGAACTGGGGCATGCCGAGACAGCAGACACCACTATAAAAGGAGTGTTGGAGAAATGCTATGAGAAATGACAAAATGTAGAAAATGTCAGACTCACACAACAACAAAGATATCCTGGGGAAGGCATCTGTGTGATGTGTGCTTGCTTTGATATCGCATCATGGTGTGGCTAAAGAGATGCCCTCTGGTCTCCCGTGCCTTGTCTTTGAGGTTGTGGGGCTTTCCTCCTCTTATAGCTTCCCTCACCTTTATGTCACTCTCTTTGTGCGTCTGTGTGTGTTTTTTTTCCATACTAGACATTGATGAGTGTGGTGCTCTGACCCAGCCTTGCGGTCCAGGTTATAACTGCGTCAACACGGCAGGATCCTACATGTGCAACAGGAGGATAATATGCAGCAGGGGCTATCACGCCAGTCCCGATGGATCCAGATGTGTTGGTAAGAGCCCTAGTAGCGGGCTTTGATACGCAGAATCCCAGCACATCGCTTAACATCACCTCGTGTGGCTCCTTTAGATGTCAATGAATGTGAGGGCAGTCTGCATCAGTGTGGAGAAGGCCAGCTGTGTCAGAATCTGCCAGGTTCCTATCGCTGTGAATGCCAGACTGGCTACCAGTATGACTCCTTCAGGAGGATGTGTGTGGGTAAGTTGGACACCACATGTGTCATCTGTGGTGGGGCACTGGATGAGTTTCTGAATAAAATGTGACCATTCTTGGTTTTTCCTCCTTGCTCCATTGTCTTTCCCATTCTGTTAATTCCCCTTCTTTTTCACTTAAATGCACTATTCATTTTCTTGGTCTCCTGCTTGTTATTCAGTGGCAGCGAGGGCTGCTGATATTTCCCATTAGCTCGTGTGCCACCGATCACGTCTCCTGCTGCCCCCCCTGCTCTCGATTCACCGGGCTGTGTTGTGACTCTCATAATAATGGACTCCACACAAGTGTTTAGACTATAAGCAGACAGATGGTCCCCCTCACATCACACTCTCGTTGACACACGCACACGCACACACACTTGCACGGGCTTGCACACATACACAGCTATGCAGCACAACAAACCTGAGTACACTTGCTTGCGCATATGCACCTGCACACTTGGGTGCAAATGCACAAACGCCCCAAAATCCCCCTACGCAGGTACGATGATGATGCTGCTTCTTCCTGCTAGATGTAAACGAGTGTTGGCGCTACCCGGGCCGCCTGTGTGCCCAGATCTGCGAGAACACCCTGGGCTCCTACCAATGCTCGTGCACCTCTGGTTTCCGCTTATCTAGCGATGGCAAGAACTGTGAAGGTGCGTTTGTGCGAATGTCAGTCGGCATGGGTGTGTGTGCCTGTCGATGCATGTTTCTGAGAATTGGTGTGTGGAAACGTGTGTGTGTGTGTGTTTGCATTGTGCCTGCGTGTGTTCACAAACCGTGCGGTTTTTAGGCCAGAACTCATATTGGACGTGTGAATTAACGTATTAGTGTATCTTCGTGTTTATCATGCCATGCCTTCAAGCTGGAAACAGTAAAAGCCATAATTGGCTTAGTAACAACATCTTGTTTATGTGTCAGCATTGAAACGTTGAAGACTCTTTGATCAAGTGAATTGTGACAGTAATGAGCTCTAACCTCTAATCTCCAGATGTGAATGAGTGCCTGGCCAGCCCATGCAGTCAGGAATGTGCCAACATCTACGGTTCGTACCAGTGCTACTGCAGAAAAGGCTACCACCTCAGGGAGGATGGGCACACCTGTGAAGGTGAGGCACGCTCTGTCATAACAAAAATATCCCATTCGTGCCATATTTACAACCCAGATTCACGCAGTTTCTCCTCTTTGTCACGCAGACATCGACGAGTGCTCCCAGACCATCGGCCATCTGTGTACCTACAAGTGTGTGAATGTTCCGGGCAGCTACGAGTGTGCCTGCCCTGAATTTGGATACACCATGTCTCCAAACGGACGATCTTGCAGAGGTGATGAATGAGCACCAGGCACAAGCACCGCAGCTCCTCCTGTGCACGCACGCTTAATTGCTTTCAAATCCAATTACAAAAATTGCTCAGCACCCATTTATTTGCTCATAGATTGTGCAGTAATAGTTGTACTCAAATAGATATAATAATTAGTCAAACAGAGGTATAGTAATTACACAGTCTATAAAACTTTATTGGCTCAAAAATCTTGTCTTTTTTTTAACACAGACTGTCATTTTCTTCAAGCTTCCACCATCCTGCAACTAACACAATCCAGTAAAGTAGCTCTTGTGGTCTGATTGTGTGTTTTAGATATTGACGAGTGTGGCACAGGAGCTCATAACTGCTCTTTAGCTGAGACATGCTACAACATCCAAGGAGGATACCGGTGCCTGTCTTTGAGCTGTCCACCAAACTACCGCAAATTTTCCAACACGTAAGTTCAAATGGCTTTTTTTAAACGGGGGATGTGTGAGGTTTATGCCACAGATTTGCTTCTCTTTTCTTTTGCAACTCATTTTTACTGGAGTGAGCAGATTGACCTGAATCCGCTGCTCTGTTTCATTGGGTGTGTGTTAAGTGAGAACTCTTATACAGGAGCAAGCTACAAATCAAACAAAAATCTGTCCATAAATGACACTTTATAACTGTTGATGTACATTATGAGAGAGCCAACAGAACCTTGCCATGGAGTTCAGGCAGAAGCCATTTTCAGATTAATTGTCAGAAATCTACTCTACATGCAATTTTTATTTTCAAATTTGCACAATCTCATGATGTCCATTATTAAATGAGTTGGAAACCAGTGCAGTTGGTTGGCCTGAAGTAACCTACCAGCTGGTAAAGGAATCCCAAAAAAATTCAATCGTATTTACTCCATCACCTACCAAATATGTTTCTATAGGCACTCATTCACTAATTCTTCCGACTGTGAAGAAAGTTAAGCTCCAGCTATTAGAAGTTGTATTTCCTAAATCAAAATCAAATTATTTATTTGTAAGTCATATCTTGTAAAAGTTTGTCTGTCAGTTTCTTAAAAGGATTTATTCTCTTTATCTGTATTCATATTTTGCCATGTGAGTTTATATACCTATATTATAGGTACACACATTTCTTTGTGCCTAATCACTATTAATGTACAGGAACATGATTCTTCGGATTATTCATATGTAATATTATATTTTTGTGTTCTCACCTTTCTCTTAGTGTCAAATAAATGCTGCCCTCCCATGTATCTGCAGCACTGTTTTAGGGTGTTTTAAAAGTGACGTGTCCCTCCTGATCTCATTTGTAGGCGCTGTGAGCGGATCAGCTGTCCCAACCACCTGGAATGTCAAAACTCCCCTCTAAGAATCGACTACTACTACCTCAGCTTCCAATCCAACATTGTCATCCCTGCGCAGATCTTCCGCATCGGCCCCTCTCCAGCCTACTCCGGAGATAACGTCATCGTGACCATCACGGAGGGAAACGAGGACAGCTACTTCAGCACCAGAAAGCTGAACGCCTACACGGGCGCTGTGTACCTACAGCGGCAGGTGGAGGGTCCCAGAGATTTCCTCATCACTGTAGAGATGAAGCTTTGGAGGCAGGGGTCATTTACCACTTTCCAAGCCAAGATCTACGTTTTCATCACGCCCAGTTCGCTCTAACGGCCGCTGGGCTGTGGCCAGTACGGCCCCGAGCACAGCTGATGAGGACTTTTCCTGTCACAGTGTAACTACGCCGCTGTCTGAACAGCTAATCCTGCTCTCATGACCGGATGCTGATATTAAAACACTGGTGTTTGAGAAACGGAGAGGCTGGCTGCTTTCTGTTACTTTTCACTGGGATTGCATGGAAATCATGTAATATGCTGCCTGAACACGGCCCATAGTTTAAAAAGCGTATTTAATAAGAATTAAGCTCATATTTTTTTCCTTTATGGACCATCAATGATGGCAAGACAGTGTAACTTTCTGACATTACTATATGTATGTAACAAATTATAAACAACTGCAAACTCTTAGCTTTTATGTGTCCATGTCTCCAATTGTCCTGTTGTCAGATTTGCAGTTTGACACCAGTTCCACCTGAATGTCTGCCTCCATTTAATCTCTAGCGCTGCTCTTGTTTTATCCCCAAAAGTGTTTTAAAAACTAATTTAATGTTACTCCACGTGCGTGGTGTATGTTAACCTTATGCCGTATACCGTAATGAGACATATTATGGATGGATGTATCATATTTTTATGCTGGATTCAAATAGCAATAAAATATTTTCGAAAAATATTTAAAAAAGAACGGACCTGTGTGCTTTGGTGTTCTTGAACTGCGTTGTTATCCTTTGACTTTGATTAAATAATACTTGCTTATCATTTTCATCTTTGATTGTGTACCAACATAAACTTATACTGTATACCGTCTGTTGTAAAGATTATAGTATTTTTGATGTCACGCCATTTCACACAATAAGTCTCCATTCAATTACTCACCTTCTCCATATCTGCTAGTTAACGTAATAATCTTCATGATACTGTTCTCCATGTGCATTTGGCTCTGAAAAGGGATCCTCATAGGGTAGTGTTTTGGCTTATTTGTACAATTATAGCTGTCTTTTTTCAATAAATGTGCTGTTGCTCCATGGGATGTAGTCTTACAGCTCCACCTGCAGGATAAATAAAGTATTACAACCTCCCATCCAGCAGATTTCTAAGACACTAGAAATAAAAAAACAACTTGGATATCCATTTCTTTTCTATCTGGTCAACATTCCAAAATGAGACATTTACACAAAAAATGATGCTGATGACAATTATTTTTTCTCGTCCCTAAGGCTCTGTAACAACCTGCCACTATCTGGAGCTCAGTGAACCTCCTGGACCTGCTGTAATCATCGGAAAGGGTGTGTGTGTTTTTCTGTGACAGCTGTATTAATGCTTGTTGCACATCCAAACAGAATCTCTCGCCAGTTTTCTGTTCTCTCAGATGAGTTATATTGCCAAAGGTCATTTGCACAGAAAAGAGTCATTTTTGGAATTTCTGCTCTTATTTTAGAATTGACTCTTTTCTTGGGTGGGAAAAAAATAATGGCGGGCTAGTCTTTAAAAACAGATAGGAAACATTGAATGCAGCTTTCACAAACTTGAGTCTGAGGGCTTCTTGACATAATTCATAATAATAACTATTTGTGCACCAATGAGTCAAGCTTTTAATCACACCCATGGACTGAGATGCCACTTCTGGTATGTACAGTGCATAACAGGGCTTAAAGCAGTGACTGATGTCTCTTTTTACACTAATTAGCTTTATCTGTTCTTCGAGATTAGGTGGTACTGTGTTTCAGGGCAATGAATCATCCATCCCAGACAGGAGAAGATACAGGGGAAGGCAGGCATTTATCACTGATTTAGAGACGCTGGTGGGGAAGTTTTGACATATCCTGGACAAAGAAAGATAGAGTGCAAGAGATTGAATAAGCAGCTATAAAGCTGGACGGCAATAGAGGTAGGAGTGGCAGTGTGATGTCTAATATGAGTGGTAAAATTCCTAAGAACTAGAGTTCAGATGACAGGGGTTCTCCTCTTTATTCAGAGTCTCAGGATTAACAGGAACTAAATCACTGAGAGTACCAGGCAGCATAGTCACTGACACCGGTGAACAGTTTTCTTAAAACAGCAGTAAATTGCTTAATCAACCACAAGACACTTTGTGGAAAACACTGGCAAAGGAAAACTACTGGGAAATGTTTTGTGATCAGCGTTTTATGACATTGCTGCCCTTGAGCAAGGCATTCACTTCATACTGCCCCTTGTACAACACACAAAACCATCTTAGACCCTTTTTTTGAATGAACAGATGACAGAGCCTCTGCAGCAGTGGCCAGACAAAAGCAATGATCTCAAATATTTTCAAACCAGGAAAAAATATATTTTGGAATAGAAGAGGCACTTTGTGTATTTCTCCGAATGAACGCAACCTTTTCTTGGTTTCTATAACTCAGACTGAAAGCATTTTTACACAAGCAGCTTCAGCCTGATAAGAATTGTGGTACCAATTACCTACAACAACAGAGACAAAATAAAAAACAGTGTCATGTTTTCTCTGTGTGGGATATCAGATTTTGAGCCAATGTAGCTCTCAACATTCTGTGAGTATAAAAGGGAAGAATTCCCATTTATACTAACTCGCAATGACAGAAATAATGGAAAAATAGAAAATAGAAAAAAAACCTCTTTCTCAGTGATTTGCCATTTTGCTACTTTATGTAATGGCGCATTTATGCAACTGTATTTCTGATGTCAATGTCATGATGAATAATTCATATTTATATATTAACATTAAAAGGTCTGGTAAAAAAAAAACCCAAAACATCTGTGACATGCTGATCATCATGATGTGATACAGAAAACATATACCCCATTTCAAAACCTGAAATGGTAGCAGAACCTGAGGTGACTGCGTTCAGTTCTCCAGCATGTGTCGGGGCGGAGGTTGCAGCAAAAGTGGGGTGGAGATGGAGTATGATACGATGGGGAGGAAGGGGTGGGTGGTGTCACAGACAAGCTAGTCTTTGATAGCTCAGGTGGTCATCACCTGAGGGGGAAAAGAGCATTAATGGGCATTCTCAGCAGCAGACAAGCACAGGCTAGTGCTCCCTCTTCCCTGGCTGCCATAAACAGAGGGAAGTATGCATCATTAGATTAAGTTGAAGCTAACGATCTGCAGTCAAGCCTCCTCATACAGTAGCAGAGTGCACAGAACCCCTGGCCTCCACTGATTAGATCCCATACAGGTGGACCCAGAGACAACACTGGGAGATTGATCTGTTTAGGATTCGAATGGAAATCTCTGTCATGGTAGATTACGTTGAGGGCATCAGAAATGTATAGTGAATTACATTAGGACACCAGGAGACCATAGAAAGACATCAAAACTTCAGAATGAGAAAAAAGCAAACAATGAGGATGAAACTAGTGGGATTCAATTCCAATAAAACTAAAGTCCTTAGGATAAAAGGTTCAGAGCAACATGTTATGCTTATCTTGCTGCTGATGGAAAAGTTAAAAGTAAAAAAAAAAGAAAAAATGGAGAGAGAAGAGCTGAAAAACAGAAAGACAGAGGGAGAGGAATTTGCCTGAGAGGAGAATGAAAGAAGGTATGCGAGATTGCCTGTCACTTTGAGGCATCTGATAGCTTAACCTGGGTGTCATCTTATCACAAAGTTTGAGAAATTGCAACATGCATCACATTTAAGACTTCTCAGAACTGACCAGGCTAACCTCTAACTATGATTTGATAAAGTACGATTTTTCCAGGTCAGTATTTTCAGTCTCATCACAAATGAAAGAAGAGAGTAGAAGTCATCACCTCTTGAGTGGACTTAGTTGAGGTGGAAACTCCTCTCCTGGTCTCCATGGGTGGGAAGATTTACTGGAGTCTTAATCACAGGTCGACAGCCTGAGCAACAGGCGTTCGGACCAACAGGAGCGGAGCCCCAGATGATGCTTCGCCTTGTTAAATGCGTTTCTGACAGAATGTTATGCGAGATATCTTTGGCATGTGTGACTTCTGACACCATTAACCATGTTTACTACTTTTTACTCACTAGAAAAAGAATGACACATAGTGGAAACGAATATAATGTAATGTAATTAACTTTAAAAAGCTGCACATAGTTCGAGTTTCAGTTTTTTGTTGAAGTGGTGTTAGATGTTACCAGTGTTTACACCAAAATGATAACATTTAGAATCTCAGATAAAATTCTACTTCCTATCTAGTTCAAATCTTAAGTGAATGCTCCCTTTTCTTCTCAAGTGGGACCAAAATAATCTTTAGCAAAAACATGTTGTTGACATGCCATAAACAGAAATGTATATTTGTGTGTGTTGGGAGGTCACTCCAATCTTTAGCCCAGAGGATAATTAGTGAAAAACAATACACATTTTAATTAGTCAGACCAAAGAGCGTTTTTTCAATTAAACTTGTCTTGACCATTAAACTGTATGCACTAATGACAATCTCAAAATAGTATTTTCTTCTTACATAAAACTGTTAACATAATCTCAGATCATTTTTATCAAATTCAGCACATATGATGAAATCGTGAAATGATCATCTCTTTCAAATTGGTGCAATATCACTTCATCAGGGCATTGATATCAACGTGCACAAATAGATTTTATTACTTCTAATAATTAATTGGCAAAGTTTTATTACATTTCTGAGTCAGCTTTTTCATATGCTTTATGTGACTGAGCATTGGCTGATAAACATAATTATTTTTAATAACAGGTTTCGTGTGAGATTTTACGGGTTGATCAACTTGTGTTGTCTATCAGCAGCTGAGCTATACAGAATTAGCATGACCCAGTTTTAAGGCAGCCTTTGTGTTTTTAGTTGGTTTATTTGTCTTCTGAATCCCACCCCTTTTGAAAAATGTTGCTTCTGTATATTACACCTTAACATAGGAACTGAAACATCAAAAAAAGAAGATGAGCAGTGTTATTTTCATTGCATGCCCCTTTGTCTATCTGTCACATGACAATGCTCACACCAAAATAAAGTTTTATGGTTTCATCATATGAGAGGATTACATTAATCAGTTATCACAAGTATATTAACAAGTTATCAGCAAATCAAATCATCTTTAATTTTTCTCCCAAATTTCAGTAGAGAAATTTCCCAATATTGTGCAAATGAATTTGCAAGAAGCAACAGGTACTGTGCTGCTTTCATGACTGTCTACATACCAATGTGACCACAGTCTAACTATTACTCTCTTTATCTCTGCTCCCTCCGGCAGCAGCGTAGCAAACCCTGTGTTCTCCTTCCAAAGAGATTCGTCCTCAAACCTTCTGTGGGATGTGTACGTTTGTTTGTGTTTACCCCTGAAGGAAAGTATTTTCAGGGAAGGTTTTTCACTTATAGAAAGAAAAGGGGGCATGATGCATTCAATCATATCAAGGCAATCTAATCCTGTTGACCCCTTGTTTATCTGTTAATCACACAATTCAAATTTTACCTTAAAAAACAAACAGAGAAATTCATAAATAATAACAGAACATAACAGCCGTCTAAGGTTGGATAAAATGCAAAGAAGAGCAATAAAACTCCCGTTGATTATTATTAGCTGCTGCATCTAACACAACAGGGCGGCACGGTGGTGTGGTGGTTAGCACTGTCGCCTCCCAGCAAGAGGGTTCTGGGTTCGAATCCCGGGGGAACCAGGACCTTTCTGGGTGGAGTTTGCATGTTCTCCCTGTGTCTGCGTGGGTTCTCTCCGGGTTCTCCGGCTTCCTCCCACAGTCCAAAAACCTGCAT